GAAGCCAAGTTTGCCGCCGCCCCCCCCCCCACACACACACCCCCCGTGGAGACCCCAGCCGCGGCCTTCCTCCCGCTCCTCTGCCTCTCCCCTCCCAGCGCCACGGCGAGGCTCCGGCGGGCGCAGCGGGGTGCACGCCCGCACCCCCTTGCACACCCACGCGTGCTCCCCCCCACGCTCCCCCCCGCACATGCGTGCTCCCTTGCACGCCCGCACGCACACTTTCCCCTGCTCCTTTTCTTTGCTGTTCCTATGGCAACCCCTCCAAGGCACACAACCGCTCTCCGATTGGAAATAAAAGTTGTTTTTCCTCCCCTCCTCCTTTACTCCACTCTTTCGCTTCCCCCCCCCCCCCCCCCCCCCTCTTATTTTGATTTCCATTTGGATCATAATCCGCCCGTTGCCATGGCAGCGCTGGCAGCCCTTTATGTCCCAGCCCTTGCAGAAAAGGCCTCTCTCCCCCTTTTTCCCTTCCTTGCGCCTTCCCCGAGTGGGTTTTGCTCTTTAAATCCCTCCTTCCCGCCAGCCCCTTGCGGCAGCGACCCCGGCATCGCCGGGATCCAGCCCGGCACCGGGGCCTGGCGTCACCGGCTGCGCCACGTCCGATGCCACGCCGACGGGACTTTTGCGGCGGGTGGGTGGAAAGGAGCTCGTCCGCCAACCCCTGGTAGCTACAGCCCAGCAAAGTCCGGGCGGGAGCCGGGATCCAGAGCTCCGGCCTTTTCCCCAGATACCCTTAACTCTGCCCCACGGCTCGGCCGTCCTCCTTGCCCGAGCATCCTCCCCTTTGGGCCAGCAGCCGGCCCGGCTCGCTCGCCCAGCCGGAGGGCGACACGGTGGCCACGCTGCCACCGACAGAAGTGATGTGGGGGGTCGCGCCGCCAGCGCGGGATGGTTTCCCCCATCCCCTCCGTTTTCCCCGCTCGCCACCTCCCTCCCGCGCTGTGCCCACTCCTGGCTGGGAGCAGGAGGTTATGAAAATGAGCTGTGTGCCCAGGAGACTGTAATTATCTGCTAAGTGTGAAAGCTAGAGTGATTAATTAAGAGATAATAAAAAGAAAAGGAGGCTAGAGAGGGAATAACGGATGCTTTGATGATAAAACCTGAGGTAAGGCAAGCAATTAGGGGAATCTTTATGGAGAGTTAGCTATAATCCCCGCGTTGCCTGCGCGGCGGGGGGGGGGGGCTGCGTGTCAGAGGGATGGACGGACAGACCCACGGATGGCGGCGGTGCGGCAGCGGGGCCGTGGGTCACGCTGCGTGACCGGAGCCGGCTCCGGCATCCCCGGGGCTGCGCTCGCTGGGCCGGGCGTGCATCCCAGGTAGGATCTAGGCCAGGAGGAAAGCTGGCTCGGGATTAAACCAACCAATCCTGAATTAAAGGATGGGAATTAATTAATGCCGCTCGGTTCTGGCCGGTGGGAGAGAGGTGCCCGACGACCCTGATTTCACCTCTGGATGGTTGGCTTGCCAGAGGTCGCTGCGGATGGACAAACGGGTGGCTCGGGGTCCCTAAGAAATCAGGCAGGATGCTGTCGAGGAGGTGGGGGGGGGGGGGGGGGAAAAGCTGCCGGGGGGGCTCCGCGGTTGGGCTGGCTGCCTCCCCGCCGGCAAACCGGGCCCCGGCACGGCAGCGGGTGATTCAGCCCTGGCACAGGCTGCCCAGGCAAGTCCCGGCACGGGGCCGCGGCAGAGCCCGTCCCGCCGGCCCCAAAAGCTGCCTCGGCCCCGGGGGGCCCCGAGCCGGAGCCCTCCCGAGGGGCTGCGGTACGTCCCTCGCCCGCTCTGCTCCCCCCCCGGGGGGAAAGATGGGAGGCGTCCCCAAGATGGGGAAGGGGCTTCGTCCCCTCCCGGCGCCCGCCCAGGAGAAGGGAAAAGCATCGGCAAAGCCCCACCAGTGCCCACGAGGCCGGATCCCAGTTGCCAAAACGGTTTCCCTGAAGGGTGGCTGCGGGGTGTCATCCTGCTGCTGGGGGGGGGGGGGGCTGTGGTGACCCACCGTGGCTTTGTCCCCTCCACCGAGGGGTTTTGGGGACGGGGGGTCTGGAGGGGGGTGTCGGGTTGGATTGTGGTGACTCGGGCTCTTGGGGACGGCTGGCATCGGGGAGGGGACACACACACACACACGCTGCCGGACACGGTGACGCCAAACCGGAGCCAAACCAGCTCCTCCAGAGCAGCTCCGGGCTGAGGACACCCTGTGCCATGGGGACAGTGGGGTCACCGCAGGCGAGTCCCCAAGGGATGGGGCCCCCCGGAGCCACCAGCATCACCACCGGCCCCCGAACGCCCACGCCACCAGCTCCGCTGCAGCCCCCAGCCCTCGGCGGGGTGTGAGGGATGAAGGGGGCCACCATCCTCCCCCTCACCTTCACGTCTCGGCCCCGGAGCATTTCCCGGGGGGGATTTTATTACCCTGCAGCAGACCACGGTCGTCTTCCAAACCACACCACGCCACCGGAGGGAGGACGGAGGGAGGACGGGCAGGTGCCCGCTGCCACCGCCGCCATCCCCAGCATCTCCTCGGCCGCGCTGGGACCACCAGCACCTTCCCTCACCTCCTTCCCCCCGTGGGGAGCCACCAAGAGCATCAACACCCCGGATCGGGGCCACCCTGTGCCCCGGCACCGTCCCTCCTGCCCCAGCACCGTCCCTCCTGCCCTAGAAATTTGGGGCCAAGGGGCCACATCCCCCCCATCCCAGCCCCATCCCAGCTCTCTGGAGGGCCCTGAAAAAGTCACCAGCAAAGGGACCACCAGCCTGACCTCAAACCACCCAGTGCCACCCCTGCTCCTCCAGTGGTGACGTCTCTCAAGGGAGCCGGGGCTCAGCTGGGACATGCAGCGAGCGTGCCAGGTCTCAGAGCCGCACGCTGGGGTGGCCCACGAGCCACGGGGGGCTGGCGTGAGCCCCCCCAGGGCGAGCCCTCGCTGCTGCTCCTCTATCAGCCCCCATCCATCTCTCCGCTATTTCAATTTTGCTGCTTTGGAGAGGGGAGAGGAATAAAAAAAAAAAAATAAACCAAAAAAAAAAAAACCACCACAGAGAGAAAGAGAAGAAGAATCACCCAGAAAATGAATAAATATTTCAATTTGAGGCGCAATCACGGCGAGTGATTGAAACGGGGGGAAGAATAATGGGTTTCATTTAGATAAGATACAGAAAATTATTTAGTGAGAAATGAAGAGTGATGAAACCCATTCAACATCTTTGTGTGCAACGACATGAATGGCACTGAAACCCCCCCCCCCCCCGCCGCCCCCCCATGTACGCACACGCCGGCCAGCACAGCCCCAGCTGCAGGGGGAGGGAACCTCAAATTTTGCCCCCCCAAGCAACAGCAGCCACCACCACCCCCCCCCCCCAGCACCCCAGTTTACAGCAAAGCTTTTCTCTGAGGCAAGAGCAAAACTTAGACAGTGGTGACGGGACGGGGCTGCTCGGGAGGACCCGGAGGGGGGTCACTGGGTCCCTCCCCCAGGGATGTGACCCCCCCCCCCCCCCCCCCCAGCAGCTCTCCCCTCTGCCGAAGCGGCGATGCCGGAGCTGGGCCCCTCTCGCCGATCAGCTCCACATGGCACCGGGCGGGAGAGCGGGCGCTTTTGTTCCCGGGAGGGCAGCAGAGCCCCGCGATGCCTCCCCCAGCCTTGCACGGAGGGGGGGGGGGGGACCTGGGATCTGCCCCCGCCCCCAACCCCCTAAAAGGCTTTGCACGCTCCTTTTAAACCCCGGGTCGACTCAGTTTGTTTTTTTTTTTTTTTTTCCCCCCCTCCCCTCCCTCCTCCTGGCATCTTAGCAACGCCGCCCCCTTAATTAAAAATTAGATTGGATTTTGCAGCGGGGAAGGAGCCGCAGGCCGTGCAGGGCTCCAGCCCTGCGGAGGGCCGAGCCGGCTGAGACCTCGCGAGCTCGCTGCACGCATGGCGCGTTTCCCCCGCTCCCCTCACCCCGCGGGGCAGCGAGGCCGAGATTCGGGGAGCGGGACTGTGTGTGTGTGTGTCCCCCCCCTGCCCCGATCCGCTCCTCTCGCTCTGCATGACCTTGGCCCAGCAACTCCCCGTGCCTCAGTTTCCCTGAGAGGGCACCACGCAGATCTTTGGGGGTCAAACAGGGACTGGGGGGGGGGGGGAGGGGAGCAGGGAAGGGGGTGCCCCCCCAGCTTGCAGCAAGCCCTGGAAATCAAGCTTGGGGGGGGGGGGGGGGGGGCTGGAAAAGAGGGTGCCTCACATTCCCCCTCTCCCAAAAGCTGGGAGCTGGGGGTCCTGGGTGCCCCCCAGAGATTCCCCCTCCACTCCCCACGGATGGACGGACAGACGGACGGCAGCCCCCACCCAGCTCCCATCACCATGTCCACACCGGGTGTGTCCCCCCACCCACCCACCCCATCACCCTCAAGAAGCTCGGCTCCCCCCAGCACTTGGGGTGCCCAGGGCCGGGTCCCCACTCCTGGGACACCCCCCCCCCCAGACCTTGGGGTCCCCTCGCTTGTCCCGGCACCCGACACCCACAACTTCCCGCCTCCAACCGCCGCTGCCCACCCCGTACCCCGAACTCCGGCAGCACCGGGAGCCCCGCGGGACCGCGGTGGGAAGTGGGGGGGCGGGGGGAAACACACACACACAGAGGACCTTGACCCCAGACCGGGGCATCCAACAGCACCAAAACCGGGGGAACACGCGCAGCCCCCCCCGGGGTGGGGAGAACCGGACCCCGCTCCATCCCCCCCCCCCCAAGTAAAGGGCGGGGGGTTTCCACGAGGACCAGGGAGTGGCGGGGGGAGGGGGGGAATGTCCCACCGACACCCCCGGAGCGAACCGCCGGTTCCCGGAGGGCGAAGCCGCCGCTTTCCCCGCGCGGCCCCGCTCCCATCCCACGGGGGGACGGGGCGGCAGCGGGTGGGAGCGGAGCCGCTGCCGGAGCCGAGCCGGGGCTGGAGCGCTGCCCGCGGAGTTGGGACACGCGCTTCGGGCGGCCCCACGCTGCCGGTACCCGCTACCCACCTTGCCCGTGGGTATCAGCGAGAGTCAGAAGGCAGAGGAAGAGGATCCGCATGCTCCCGTCCCGGCCGCGCTCCGGGCAGGGGGCGCGGGGGGGTGGCCGCTGCCCCGCTCCGCCGCCCCGTTCGGCCCCGCGCCCCGGTACCGGCACCGCTAGAGCATGGCCCGGCCGGGCAGGGGCCGGGGAAGGGCCGCGGGGCTCCGCTCCGCTCCGCGCCCAACCGCGCCGCTCCGCGCCCAGCCCCGGAGTGCGCGGCCGGCGGGGCGGGGCGGGCGGGGCGGGGCGGGGGGCGGCCACGCGGGACGGGCGGGGAGGGGAGGGGGGGGGGGGAGAGGAGAGAGGGGGGAGGGGGGGGGGGGGGGGGGTGATGGTGTGCTGCAGCCCCGGGGGGGGGGAGCGTGCGTGTTCGCGCGTGTCACGCGTGGTTTTGGGCGTGCGTGTGCGTGTTGGGGTGCGGGCATGTGTGTTGCGGCGGGAACATGAGTGTTGGGGTGTGGGCATGTGTGTGTTGGGGCAGAAACATGTGTGTTGGGGCAGGAACGTGTGTGTTGGGGTGGGAACGTGTGTGTTGGGGTGTGGGCATGTGTGTGTTGGGGCAGAAACGTGTGTGTTGGGGCGGGAACGCGTGTGTTGGGGTGGAAACATGAGTGTTGGGGTGTGGGCATGTGTGTGTTGGGGCAGAAACATGTGTGTTGGGGCGGGAACGCGTGTGTTGGGGTGTGGGCATGTGTGTGTTGGGGCAGAAACATGTGTGTTGGGGCGGGAACGCGTGTGTTGGGGTGGAAACATGTGTGTTGGGGTGGGAAAGTGTGTTGGGGTGCGTGCTTGCATGTGTATGCCTGTTGGGGTGGGAACATGGGTGTTGGGGCGGGAACATGAGTGTTGGGGTGTGGGCATGTGTGTGTTGGGGCAGAAACGTGTGTTGGAGTGGGAACGCGTGTGTTGGGGTGGGAACATGTGTGTTGGGGCGGGAACGTGTGTGTTGGGGTGGGAACATGTGTGTTGGGGTGGGAACATGTGTGTTGGGGCAGGAACATGAGTGTTGGGGTGTGGGCATGTGTGTGTTGGGGCAGAAACGTGTGTTGGGGCGGGAACATGTGTGTTGGGGCGGGAACGTGTGTGTTGGGGAGGGAACATGAGTGTTGGGGTGTGGGCATGTGTGTGTTGGGGCAGAAACGTGTGTGTTGGGGTGGGAACATGTGTGTTGGGGCAGGAACATGAGTGTTGGGGTGTGGGCATGTGTGTGTTGGGGCAGAAACATGTGTGTTGGGGGCGGGAACGTGTGTTGGGGTGGGAACGTGTGTTGGGGTGGGAACGTGTGTTGGGGTGGGAACGTGTGTTGGGGTGCGTGCTTGCATGTGTATGCCTGTTGGGGTGGGAACATGGGTGTTGGGGTGGGAACATGCATGTTGGGGCAGGAACATGTGTTGGGGTGTGCGCTTGTGCGTGTGTGTATATTGGGGTGTCCTCATGCATGTTGCAGTGCAAACATGTGTGTTGGGGCGTGAACGTACATATCGGGGTGCATGCTTGCATGTGTGTGTGTGTTGGGATGTGTACATGCATCCTGGGGGATGAACATGCTTGTTGGGGTGCATACATGTGTGTTGGGGTGTGCACTTGTGTGTGTGCGTGTTGGGGTGTGTACATGCATGTTGGGGTGCATGCTTGCATATGTATGCATGTTGGGGTGTCAGCATGCACGTTGGGGTGTGAACATGCGTGTTGGGGTGCAGGCATGTGTGTAGAGATGCATGCTTGCATGTGTATGTGTGTTGGGGTATGTACATGCATGTTGGGGTGTCCTCTTGTGTGTGCATGTTGGGGTGTAAACGTGTGTTGGGGTGCAGACATGTGTGTTGGGGTGTGAAGACGTGCTGGGGTGTGCACTTGCGTGTGTGCGCATGTTGCAGTGCATAAATGCATGTTGAGGTGCATACATGTGTGTTGCAGTGCATGATTGCATGCGTGTGCATGTTGGGATGTATACATGCATGTTGGGCTGTGTACATGCATGTTGGGGTGCATACATGTGTGTTGTGGTGTGTGTTTGGGTGGGTGTGCAGTTGAGGCATGTACATGTGTGTTGGGGAGTGCACTTGTGTGCATGTGCGTGTTGGGTTATGTACATGTGTGTTGGGTTATGTACATGCATTTTGGGCTGTGTACATGCATGTTGGGGTGCTTGCTTACTTGCGTGTGCATGTTGGCATGTGTACATGCGTGTTGGGCTGTGTACATGTATGTCGGGGGCGTGCCTCCTCCTGTTGCTTTGCACGCCGGGGTGTTTGCACGCGCGTTCACGCCCGCAGTGTGTGCACGTCGGGCTTCTTCCACGCGCGCCGCTTGGCCCTCTCACGCCAGCGCACACACGTGTGCGTGCCAGCCTTGCACACCCATGTGCGGGTCCACCCATGTGCACGTGTGTGTGTCCGCGTGGGGACGCGCTCGGCCGTGTGCGCACTGCAGCCAGCTGGGAGCAGGGACCCCGCAGCACCCCGGGGCCAGGGGCCCCCTCAGCGCCCTCTCCCCACACTCCCTGCAGCCTTTCCTCTTCCTCCTCTTCCTCTTCCTCTTCCTCTTCCTCTTCCTCTTCCTCTTCCTCTTCCTCTTCCTCTTCCTCTTCCTCTTCCTCTTCCTCTTCCTCTTCCTCTTCCTCTTCCTCAAGCTCCAGCCAAAGGGGAGCATCAGCTCCTCTTGCCTCCTGAGCCTTCAGCAAACACCGAACCTTCAGTTTTCATGCTGTGGTGTTTTGGCAATTTTTATTTTTTGTTTTGTTTTTTTTTTGAGGGGGTTGTTGAGTTCCTTTTTTTTTCTTTTTTTTTTTTAAGCTTTTCCCCCTCCAATAGAATTTCCAGCCCTGAGGGGGTTTACAGCAAACCCTGCGGCGAGTGGGATCCAGCGCCTGGCACCCCTCTCTCCGCCAGCGTGGCCGGGGGCGGGGGGGTGTGCAGGAGCGGGAGTTGTCCCACCCCACGCCACAGCGGAAACGCCGATTTTTTTTTTTTTTTGGCTCTAATGGGGATTTCTTGAAAAGATGTGGGGTTTTTTTTCCCCCCTTGGCCATAGGGCAGGTGGGGGTCCCGCACCCCGTGCCGGTGGCCGCCGCATCCCCGGCGTCCCTTGTGCGACACAGGGGGGGTGGCTCTCGGTGCGGGGTCCCCCCTCGGCTCCCTGCTTGGGGGGGGGTCCAGCCTCCCTCCTCTTCCTCAGCGCCTTCATTCAGCTTCGGCTTTTCTCCGGGGGACCCGCTGCCCCCCGGGGTGGGGTTTCACCCAGGGACCGCCGAGCCCCTCCCGGCACAGCCCCCAGGAGCCTCCGTGGCTCCGAAGTGGCCGAGACGGATGATTACAATAAAAAGAGATGAAAATAAAAAGCTGTTTTATTAAAAGTAATAACAGCGGTTCTCCTCGGGAGAGGCGGCTTGTGGGCGATGCAGGTTGTGTCCGGATCGGCATGGCGGGGGGGGGGAACACACAAGGATGGGGGGGGACGCTGGGGGGAGCGTGGCTGTGCCGTGGGTTCCTCTCACCCCAAATCCAGCCAAATTCTTCCCGTGGTGCTGGAGGGTCTCGAGGGGCCCCACGGAGCTGCCACCCCCCCCCACCTCCCTGTCCCCCCCCCCCTTCCCACTCTTGCAGCCGCCCGGAGGAATTTGAGTAGGAGAGGAGATGGCCGCGGAGTGGAGAGGAATATGAAGGAGTTTGTCGAGCACGGAGGAAGGGGAGAGAGGTCAGGGAGGAGTGGCGGTGGCCGCCGGGAATTTGCTGACGGGAGGAGAGGAGAAAGCCACGGCGGGGGCAGCCGGGGGACGGGGACTTGGGGGGCAGCCTGGGCCCCCCTCCAAACCCCTCAACTTTGCCAGATTGAGGGGGGCAAAGTCCCCGTGGGGCAGCGTGGCCTGGCCGGCTTGGCGTTAGGCCCATCAACCCCGGCGTCGGGGCGCATTGAGCAAACCCGTCCCGGCCGGCGCGGCCCTGGGGACACCCTTCGTGGCAGGGTCCCCGCGGTGCCGGGCGAGGGGTCCCTTCTCCCTCAGGCTCCGAGGCTGGGGGGGGGGTGCCCGGCGCCCCCCAGCACCGTGCGGAGCCGCGACTGGCATCGGCAATTTTTGTTTTCTCCCGCTCGCCAAGCACCGGAGGCGGAGCAGGATCTCCCGCGGTGCGCGGCGGGCCGTGAAAGCCCATCTGCGCCAATAATAATAACAATCATAATGATATTTATACAGAGCCTAATGTCTCCGAGCAGCTTCCAGAACCCATTTGGAGGCAGCCGCTCGCTTTTCCTCATTACGAGCGACGCGCTGGAGCGGAATGGCTAACGAAGCCGCTCGTTAGCCGGCCCCGGTCCGTGCCGGGTCAGCACTGCGGGGCCCTGGGGAGTCTCAGTGCCTGATGCTCCTGCTGCGGCTGAAGCGGGGTGGAGGGGAAGGGATTTCACACAACAAATAATTTGAGATATATTTTGGCTTATGAAAAGCACCTCGGCAGGGAAAGGCAGGTGAATTCCCCGCTTAAATGAGCAGCCAGGCTGGAGCAGTCTGTATACCCCAGCCCTTCAGACCCGCGTTAGGCCTCTTTATTATTATTATTATTATTTATTTTTTTTAAAAAAAGCAATTACTAGGAAGCCTCTTTGCCTGCATTCGTGTGCTCCTGCCGGCGTGACCTCTATTCCACGGTAATTAAGTGCCTTCCAGGAGGGGCTGCGGCGGGCGCTGCTTGCCCAGCTCCTGCCTGCTCGGTGGATGGTGATTTGCAAAGAGCTGCAGGAAACTCGATTTCCTAAGGAAAGGCAGCTCCTCTCGCCACTCCGGCCTCCTTCCCCCCTGCCAATAACTCCTCAACTGCTTGGCTGATTTAAAACAAATTTCACAAGCGGGTCAAAGTCACCGGGATAAAGGAGATGGGGCGAGAAGGGGGCTGGGGAGAGCTGCTGGGTCTGCGCTCGGTAGGCTCAACTCTATATTAGACATCAGAGCATCCCCACTGGGCGCCAGAGCCTCCACAACTCGCTGATGCTGTTTTTTCTTTATTTCCTTTATTTTTTTGGCACACAGATGTGCCCTAGGGAGAGGTGGTTGAGGTGGGGTTCCAGCCTGGGAGATGCTCCCGGGGGGACCAGACGCTTTGGCTTCCCCAGCCTGTTTCGGGGTGGGTGCTGGGTGCCAGCTGGGTGCTGGGTGCCAGCTGGGTGCCAGGTGCCAGCCGGGTGCTGGGTGCCAGCTCGCAGCTGGGTCCTCACGGAGGCATTTGCTAAACGGACACCAAACAGATGGGGACGTGCCGGAGAGCCCCCGCGGGGCTGGTGGGCTGTGGCATCCATCGCTGCCTCGAGCGCTGCCGTTCTCAGCCGAGCCGGGGTGGATGCAGTCGGGCCCTGCCCCGGCCATCGCGACCCCGACCCCAGCACCCCAAACTGCTCACCCAGCCACCCCCCGACAGCACCTTGGACTAAAAGGGGGGGGGGGGGGGAAAAATCCTCTTTCCCTGCCCCTAGCCCCAGACGGCGGCCGAGCGCTGAGCCTGGTTTGCCAGCGCTAATCCCGTCCCCGTAACCCACTGCCCCTCCTTCCCCGTCACCACGATCGGGGTTTCCTCCACGAAGGGTTCCTCGAGACACGTCCCTTTGCTCCTCGCTGCCTCAGTTTCCCCATCTCCCAAATCCTGCTGCTCCCTGGTGCGGGGCTCAGACAAGAAAAGCAGATTTGGGTGTCGCAGGGTGAAAAGGGGACACGTCACCCAGCATCTCCGGTCCCCGGGGGGGGGCCACGTGCCGTCTAGCCGGCGATTTAACCAAAACACCATTTCCAGCATCACCCCAGGGCTGGTCCAGCCCCGGCTCTGAGCATCACCTCCCTCCACCCCGCCCGGCACGAGCAGCCACCACAGGGGTGCCACCACCTTTTAATATTTATTTTTCCCCCCCTCACGCTAATTTCTGGCGTGTGCTTACATCTTCTAACTAGGGTTTTATTTGTCGCGTTTGTTTGTTTGCCTCCCGGGCTCGGCTCTCGGACAGAGGTGCTAATAAAGAAGACATCTGTCACCGGGATTAGATCGTGTTCTTGTTAACACGCTGTTTCCTTTAAATAAATAATTGTCTCCCAAACTGGCATTCAATTATTAAAGCAAACACTGGCGCAGGCCTGGCGCGCGGGTGATGGGTGGACGGGATCCCGTGGGGACCCGGCGGGGCGGTCGGGGTGGCCTTTGCACTGGAGCATCCCCAGGGAGACCCGTCCCCGTCCCCATCCCCTCCCCGGGGACAAATCCTGCTCTCCCACTGCAAATAACCATGCGGCACCCCAGTCTGCCATTAAAACCCCCAGCTCTCCCACGTGAATTTTCCTCTCTCCTGCCTCCCCCCGCCCACATTCATCATCCTCCAAAACTGATTTAATTGTCTCTGTCACAGGCTGTGCCTCGTCACGGGGAAAGCACAACCCCATCCCATCGCCCCACGAGGTCGAGCCGTGCTTAATGTATTATTTCAATCAGCTCTGCTCCTGGAATGATCACAAAATCACAGAATCATTTAGGTTGGAAAAGACCTTTAAGATCATCGAGTCCAACCGCTAACCCAGCGCTGCCAAGTTCCCCTCTCAACCACGTCCCCGAGCGCCACGTCTACACGTTTTTTAAACCCCTCCAGGGACGGTGACCCCACCGCTGCCCTGGACAGCCCGTTCCAGTGCTTGACAACCCTTTTGGTGAAGAAATTTTTCCTCATCTCCAACCTAAACCTCCCCTGGCTCAACTTGAGGGTGTTTCCTCTCATCCTCTTGCTTGTTGCTTGGGAGAAGTGACCGACCCCATGCGGCTACAACCTCCTTTCGGGTTATAGTGAGTAGCAGTGATTTCCAAGAGCGATAAGGTCTCCCCTGAGCCTCCTTTTCTCCAAGGCTGAACCCCTCCAGTTCTCTCAGCGGCTCCTCATCAGACTTGCTCTCCAGACCCTTCACCAGCTTCCTTGCCTTTCTCTGGACACTCCCCAGCACCTCAATGTCTTTCTTGTAGCGAGGAGCCCAAACCTGAACCCACTATTTGAGGTGTGGCCTCACCAGCGCCGAGTCCAACGAGATGATCGCATCCCCAGTCCCGCTGGCCACGTTATTTCTGACACAAGCCAAGGTGCTGTTGGCCTCCTTGGCCGCCTGGGCACACCACCAGCCGGCTGTCGACCAACACCCCCAGGTCTTTTTCCACCACTTTCCAGCCCCTCCGCCCCCAGCCTGTCACATTCCAGGGGGGTGTTGTGACCCAGGTGCAGGACCCGGTACCCAGCCTCGCTGAACCTCGTACAACTGGCCTTGGCCCATCGCTCCAGCCTGTCCAGACCCCTCTGCAGAGCCTCCCTACCCTCCAGCACATCAACGCTCCCGCCCGACTTGGTGTCACCTGCAAACTTACTGAGGGTGCACTCGATCCCCTTGTCCAGCCCAATAAAAATATTAAACAGAACCGGGCCCAGTTAAACAGAACTGCCCAAGCCAGGAGCAGCCAGTTTCTCCAGGAGAATGCTGTGGGAAATGGAGTCAAAGGCTTTGCTAAAGTCCAGGCAGACAACCTGCACAGCCTTTCCCTCATCCGGTAACCGGGTCACCTTGTCACGGAAGGTGACACCAGGTTTGTCAGGCAGGTCCTGCCTTTCATAAACCCGTGCTGCCTGATCGCCTGGTTGTCTCGTACAGACACCCGGGACCCCCCCGGTGAGCCCGGATTGCTGAGAAATGATGGGAAGTGGCTCCCTCAGCACCCCTGGCTGGATCCCATCCGCCCCGTAGACCTGTGTGTGTTTAAGGGGTGTAGCAGCTCGCTGACCATTTCCCCTCGGATTGTGGGGGCTCCGTTCTGCTCCCCGTCCCTGCCTCCAGCTCAGGGGGCTGGGTACCCCGAGAAAAAAACGGTCTTGCTATTACAGATGGAGGCGAACAAGGCATTAAGTACCTCAGCTTTTCCTCAGCCTTTGTCGCTATGTTTTCCCCCGCATCCAACAAAGGATGGAGATTCTCCTTAGCGCTCCTTTTGTTGTTAATATATTTATAGAAACATTTTTTTACTGAATAAGAGCCAGAGCAAAGAGATTAATTGAAAGAGGCTGCAATTCCCGCGCGCCGGTGGCAGGGAGAGGGATGGTTCAATCGGAGGAGTCCCCTCCCGGGGCTCGTGACTTTGTGCTTTGCCTCTGCGTCGGGGTCGTGGCTGTCACACTCCTCGGGTGACACTTTAATTACACCCAGGACCTGGTAGAAATATGGTTCTTGATGTGCTTGAGACATCGAGAGCAACCCCAGGCTGCTGGCAGGGAGGATTTAGGCTTGTTGGGGGAGATGGAAACTCGTGCTTGCCGGGCGATGATTATAATGGCAATAAAACATATGGCCAGCGTGGTGTGCCATAGCTTGCAGGCCATAAAGCACAGGTAACGAGCCCGGGGCTGCCGTGGGGTTGCTTGAGGTGTTTGGGGTGCTGGGGGGAAGGCTCACGGATCGTAGGGAGCCCCTCGGGCTCCCCCCTGCAATGGGGAATAGCGGAACGGGGCTGGGAGTGGACGCTGCTTCTCCGGTCATTGCTGCAGGGAGCTGTGGGACCCCGAGATTGCTGTGGGACCCCAGGGTCGCTGTGGGACCCCATGACTGCTGTGGGACCCCGGGATCACTGTGGGACCCTGAGATTGCTGTGGGACCCCAGGATCGCTGTGGGACCCCGGGATCACTGTGGGACCCCACAATTACTGTGGGACCCTGGGATTGCTGCCTGATCCTGGGATTGCTGCGGGACCCCGGGTTTGCTGTGGAACCCCAGGATTGCTGCCTGACCCCAGGATCATTGCGGGACCCCAAGATTGCTGCCCAACCTTGGGATCGCTGTGGGACCCCGGGATTTCTGCCTGACTCTCTGATCGCTGCCCGACCCCGGGATCGCTGTGGGACCCCGGGATCATTGCCAAACCTTGGGATCACTACCCGACCCCAGGATCTCTGCCCAACCCCACGATCGCTGCCTGGCTGGTGCCTGTGGCTGGAAGGAGGGTGCTGAGCGCCCAAAGGTGGGGACGGTCTCCCTGGGACCAGCACAGAGGGCAGGCCAGGCTCCATCCTGCTTGCTACCCAGCGGCTGCCGGCCGGGGCAGCACCAGGGATGGGCTCGGGATGAAACGTCACGGAGAAGCGAAACCCTTGGGTGTCCTGGCAGGGCTCTCCTTCCTAATCGTCCTTATTTGCCCAGGCCTAATTCATAAATCAGCAGGCACGAGTAATTTCCCCAGGAGAGCATTTAGACGGGAGATTGAATGAGTAATTTACTGGGAACATTAAGACGGCACCAGATAACTTATTTATGAGAACTTTTTGACAGATCTGCCGCTCAATAATTTATGCTGCTCAGCATTTAGTCAGGGTCACCAGTAAATAATTCACTTATTATAAACTATAGAAGGTTTTATGAGACGCTGAATTATTATCTTGCACTGGATTTGGGGCTGTAAATATGAAACCGATGATGCCCCAGTAACGGAGGTGTCCCTGGAATGGGTGTGCTGAGACCCGGCGCCGCGGCACGCTCGGTGCAGGGGCTGTGCCGGGATGTGTTTTGGGACTGCCAGGTCCCCCTCGGGGGCTGCAGTGACCTCTGAGAGGAAGAAGCATTGCCACATTTTGGGGCGGCTGCTTGTGCAACGGACGAGGAAACTGGGTTTTATTTTGCACCCTCGAGGGGCTTTCAGCAGAACAGTCTCAGCTTTCCCAACCTGGGGAAACTGAGGCAGGGGAGCCACCGCTCCCGCAGACCCGAATACGCTGCCGTGGGGATGGGCCCTGCGGGGCGGTGACACCGGGGGGGCTCAGCCCCCCAGCCTCGGCTCCCTGGTCATGACGTGGATGACAGCCACCAGCACCAGCAGCGGCCCGAAGACGGCGGCCACGAGATACCCCTTCACCACGCAGTAGCGGTCCTGCGCCCCGCACGCCCCCGGCCCCCCACCATTGCCCGGGGGCTGCCCCCCAGCAGCTCCCTGCGTCACGGTGTCGGTGTCGAGGGGCTCGGTCACTCCCCGGGGTCCTGCCGTGCTCCTGCTCTGTCCTCCTGTGTCACTGGTCCCGGTCACCATCTTGGGTGAGTCATCTGGGGGACATGGGGCGGGACGTGAGCTGTGGGGCAGGTGGCTGTTTTGGGGATGGGGAGGGGTCTGGGTGCCACCAGGGATGGGGGAAACACCCCAGGGGGGGTCTGAGTGCCACCAAGGATGGGGACAGCAAGTGCAGCACCCCAAGGGGGGTCTGGGTGCCACCAGGGATGGGGACAGTGGGTGCAGCACCCCAGGGGGGGTCTGGGTGCCACCAGGGATGGGGACAGTGGGTGCAGCACCCCAGGGGGGGGTCTGGGTGCCACCAGGGATGGGGACAGTGGGTGCAGCACTCCAGGGGGGGTCTGGGTGCCACCAGGAATGGGGACAGTGGGTGCAGCACCCCAAAGGGGGTCTGAGTGCCACCAAGGATGGGGACAGCAAGTGCAGCACCCCAGGGGGGGTCTGGGTGCCACCAGGGATGGGGACAGTGGGTGTAGAACCCCAAGGGGGGGTCTGGGTGCCACCAGGGATGGGGACAGTGGGTGCCACAGCCCAGGGGGGTCTGGGTGCCACCAGGGATGGGTGCAACACCCCGGGGGGGTGGGGTCTGGGTGCCACCAAGGATGGGGACAGTGGGTGCAGCACCCCAGGGGGGGTCTGGGTGCCACCAGGGATGGGGACAGTGGGTGCAGCACCCCAGGGGGGGTCTGGGTGCCACCAGGGATGGGGACAGTGGGTGCAGCACCCCAGGGGGGGGTCTGGGTGCCACCAGGGATGGGGACAGTGGGTGCAGCACTCCAGGGGGGGTCTGGGTGCCACCAGGAATGGGGACAGTGGGTGCAGCACCCCAAAGGGGGTCTGAGTGCCACCAAGGATGGGGACAGCAAGTGCAGCACCCCAGGGGGGGTCTGGGTGCCACCAGGGATGGGGACAGTGGGTGTAGAACCCCAAGGGGGGGTCTGGGTGCCACCAGGGATGGGGACAGTGGGTGCCACAGCCCAGGGGGGTCTGGGTGCCACCAGGGATGGGTGCAACACCCCGGGGGGGTGGGGTCTGGGTGCCACCAAGGATGGGGACAGTGGGTGCAGCACCCCAGGGGGGGTCTGGGTGCCACCAGGGATGGGGACAGTGGGTGCAGCACCCCAGGGGGGGTCTGGGTGCCACCAGGGATGGGGACAGTGGGTGCAGCAGATGAGAACAGACACTGAAAGAGGAAAGGGGAATTTCTCCACCAGGCACATGACCGTCCTGGGCTCGTCCTCATGGTCGAGGGGCGGTTGCAGGGGTGGGCTTGGGGCTGGGGACCTCATGCAGTGGCAGCCCACCCACATGGGGACATGCCCGGGGTGAACGGAACCCAAGCCTGGTCCCCGTGCCCCTCCTCCCACCATCCTCGGACTCACCATGAACCAGCAAAAAGTAGCAAAAGGTCTTTGGGTTGGTGGGGTCAGACGAGGTGTCCACGACCACCTTGTACCTCCCGCTGTCCACCAGCTCCAGGGGTCTGATCTCCAGGGACAGGTTGGTGGAGTGAATGAACAGCCGGCTGTGGAAGTGGGGCAGGTAGTTGGTGGTGACCATCTTCTGCCTGGGCTTGGCCTCGGCGATGTGGGTCTCCCAGGACATCCAGGTGACCCGCACGATGGCCTCAGTCATGGGGTGCAGGGCCGGGAAGAAGAGGGACTGTCCCTTCAGCCCCTCCAGCATCTCCGTGCCACAGCAAAGCTGCAGACCTGCAAGGCACCGGGTGCCAGGAGACGGTTGGGGTGGGGACACACCACCACAGCAGTGACTGCAAGGACGAGGGAGGTCTCTATCCCATGCCCTCCCCCCCCCACACAAAAAAAAGCACCCCAAAGCATCCCTGGGGAGGGATGCTGGCGCAGCCAGGATGCTCCAGCCCACCTACCCTGACATCCTGCGGGGATAAATGGCCCACTCAAGTCCCAGGAGCATCCTTACCCCCAGCCAGCAGCACGCAGAGGAGAAGCATGGCTCCAGTCATGTCCCCTCCTTGCGTGGGGGTGGCTGAGCAGACACTACCATCCCCAACCCACCGGGCTGAGCTTAGAAAATGCCTCTGGGGATGGGGGCAACGCTGATAAAGAGGGATTGCACAAGGCTCCCTGCCAGGAAGGACATGGGTGCTGGTGGGGGCGAGAGAAGTGGTGACTTAGCGGGTGGGACTGGTTTCATGGAGGAAGCTGGTGTCTGGCAGGATGTGACAGGGTCTGACTCTGCCCTGGGATGAGCAGGAGGTGAAACAGCAGCTCCTACTTCCCCAGGATCTTGCGGGGATGATGAATAACCCGGCGGAGGCGACGGGAAGCAGGGGTTTAAGATCCCACTTGGGGGGGATGCAACTGGCTGGGGGACACGGGCAGAGCTGGGGCTGGGGTCCTTCCCCTGGACATCCCAGCCCTTTTCCCGTCGGAACCAGCTGGGAGCAGGGACACGGCTGCAGGACAGGTGAATTTTAGCTGGGGCCACGGGAGGTTCAGTCCTTGTATGAGATGCTCTCCGTGGAAACTTGCTTTCCCCTGGATGCTATCCCCTCAACAATGCATCCTCCATCCCTATCCTGCTCCGAAGCGAAGGTTCCCACCCAGTTATTTCTTCCCCGAGTGATGTGGGATCAGTGCAGGGAGCCAGCTCCTGTGGGATGGGTGCTGGGGGGGGGGCTTCAAGGACCTCAATCAAGGCCAGGCTCAAGCCCCCCCAGGGACAAACCCAGCCCGGCTGCCACAGAGCGCGGTCGCATGCTGCCACCTCTCGGGCAGAGCCACGCGCCAGCCTGGAAGAGTATTTTGGTTAAAAAAAAAAAAAAAAAAATGTGGCTTTTCCTCCCTCCATGGTTTAGAAGCGGAGCACAGACGGGATGCTGCGGGGACGGGCTGCAGGCCTATTAAAACAGAAAAGCATTCGGAAAGCTGCCTGGCTGAGAATGGAGGGGGGGGGGGGGAGGGGGGCTGTGGGGGTCCCCAGGGGGACCCCGATGGTGACATCTGTGTGAAAACCTCGTGCGGGATGGCCGCTCGCTTCCCACTCCCATCCTGCAGCACCACCTGCCCCGTGCAGCCGCGATCCTGAACACCGGAGGGACACCGGGGCCGGGGAATCAGCCCCGTGTCCCCAAGCCAGGAGCAGCTCTGCCTGCACAGACCCCCCCCCCTCAACACACACACAACCCCCCAACCCTCCACCGCCCTGCTCGCCCGCGCAGCTCCTGGGCCAAATTTAGCTGGAAGGGGAAGGAGAAACTGCGTGGATGATGCGCTGAATAAAAACACCCTCTGCAATGCGGTGCCTCAAGCATGCAGCGTCTTCCCTTCCTCCTCAACGTGGTCCACGAAATGTGGTAAATGTTCCCCTTTCTTTCCTTTCCATTTTTCCCCCGCCTCGTGCGCTCCCCGGGCAAAGCTTCTCCAGCCCAAGGAAGGTCCCCTTGATGTAAATTGTTCCCTACATGCTGAATGGAGCTGCAGACAAAAGCTCTAATTAATCGGCTCAGCCCCTTCTCTGGAGCGGAGGTTTTCAACCTTGCAAAACGCTGCTTTTCCCTTTGTAGCCTTAATTAGGTTTTTGGTTTTTTTTTTTTTTTTTTGCTCCTCTGCCGGCGAGGGGGAGGAAGGGGCTGTGGGAGCCGGCGCGTCCCACGTCACTGCGTGGGGAGGGAAAGATGCTGAAGCTCCTTCCAGCTGGCTCCGGCTTGTGGGGGGGGGGTCAGGCCGTGCCTCAGTTTCCCCCCACACCCCCCACCCCCAGTGGGGTTGAAGCTGTTGCACCCTGGTTGCTGTAGGAAACCTGCTCCGGCTGCTGGAGAGGCTGAGCAGATCCCATCCCGCCCCGCTCCCCGTGCCGTGGCCTTTTCCCAGAACTTTTCCTGGGCATCTGCCCCTTTCGCAGCCGTTCGCCCGGTTCTCAGCAGAACCAGCCAACAGCCCCTGCGCCCGGGGTGGCCGTTCCGCAACGGGGAACCCCGACTCCCCCCCCCCCCCCCCCCCATACATCACCCAGTTCCCAGGCAGGGTTTCCCTGCCCGGCAGCAGGGCTGGGGGATGGCTCGGGCCACCGCGACGGCAATGAGCTTACCGTAAGGTGATTAGCGGGGGCGGATCGGAGGGCAGAAGCAGACGGCGGGGAGATCGGATTAGGGGCTCCCAGCCCCGGCGCCTCTTGCTCTCTTCCAGCGCTCCCCAAGACCCACCAGCCCCGAACGATGCTGTCGGGCAGGGGACACAGTGAGCACGGGGGACACTTGGCTTCAGTGGGGCTGTGGCATCCCCGATATCGCAGGAAAAGCCGAGAGTACCGCTGAATCATGGTAAAAATCACGCTCAGGACAAGCTCATTAATATCTACACCAGTGATTTAATGAGGTGGTTTCTGGCGGCCGGGGTTAGATAAGGGACCCACAAACTGCTGCTGCGCCCAGATGACACGATGCTCCTTCCACGTGGCTCCCTGTCCGTGGTTTATCTCTACGCGGCAGATCTGGAGTCGGGAGATTTGGGAGAGGGAATAAATCTCTGGCGACGAGCAGGCGACGCGCCGATCTGCTTCGTGAAAGGATGGGGAGGAGAGCTGGCGTGAGGCTGGGGCGATGCTCCTCAGTCCCCCGCATCCCGGTCCCTGTGGGATGGCTCTGTCCCAGAGCGGGGGGCTGGCAGGACGCCGGGGAGTGGATCATGTCCCCCCTTTGCTCGTGGGACAACCCCACCCTGGGGGTCTCTTCTGGGATGGGGGGGGAAGCTTTGCCCTGGGCTGTTGGGGGGGGGAGCTTCATCCTTTGAGGTGAAACCCCCTGCAGCCCATTTGGTCTGTCCTCTCCCCAGAACAGCTCGGAATTCGTTCGAGAACCCAAAATACAGAATGCTGAGGGGAAAAAAAAAAAACAACTTTTCTTTAATCCATGCTCAGGTGGGTTAACAGCTCTCCACGGTTGGAAGCAGTTCATTTGGTGCGGCGTCTGGAGGCCTGACTTGATCCACAGAGACCCTTTGGGGGTTCGACGAGCGGGGAGAGCCACGGGAAGAGGGTCTGCAGGGCCGGAGGAGGACGTGGGTGACGGCCACGGCTGTGAGCAGGCTGCCCAGCACCAGAAGGCAGAGCAGCCCCTTCACTCTGCAGTAGGGCCACAAACTGCCTGTAAATAGATAGAAACAGGGTGGTGGTGGGGGGGCATCCCCTGCCCCCCCAGGGGCACCGAGGCCAGGTTGCCCACAGCACAGACTCAGAGCATCTGTGGGGACTGATCCTTCCACGTCCCCACCACTGCCAGCACCGATTCCCAGCCACACAGCACCTCACACGCCGGCTGCACGCTTCTCTGCGCCCGCAGCCCGTGGCTACATCTCCCACTTATTTATCCCGGATGGATTTAAACCCCAAACCTCCTTTTGGAGCTGAAGAGGGGCAAGAAACCTCTCCCCAAAATGATTTTTTTTCCCTCCACAAACCTGAGGCCGCAGCACGGCAGGCTGCCACGATGTCGGTGCTGGCCGTGTCCCAGCTCACCGGGTTGCTCACGTTGCAGCGGCAGACGGTGGGGTCGGTGTCCCCGCGGACCTGCAGCTGCAGCCGGGACTGGGGCTGCGGGGTTCCCGGGGGATCCCCACCACAGGACCAGCTGTAGGAGACATCGCCGGCACCGGGCACGGTGCAGACCAGCGAGAGGTTGCACCGGTCCTGCTCCCGGTGCAGGATGCGCACGTCCAGGTGCGGCCGGTGGATGGGCTCTGCGGGGACAGAGCCGGTGAGAAGGGATGGGGGGGACAGGGGGACGGGGTGATGGGGACCCAGCTACTCACCCCACACCGACACGTGGAAGCACTGGACAGTGACAACGCCTGAGGAGTCCTCAAAATCTGCCCGATACTCTCCACTGTCTGCCGTGCTAACCGGGCTGATCCGCAGGGAGAAGTTTTCCTGCTGGAATTCAGTTCTCCCAGAAAAAGGACTCATGGAAAACTCGACAGACTGATCATGGTCAGCTGTCAGGATCCGGTGCTGGTATCCCAAATCCAGTTTCGCTTTCCACTCAACCTTCACCCACCCCTTCGGGGGTTTCTCCAGCAGAAGCTGCAGCGTTCCCCCGGCAGACACGGCTTGTTCCCGGCACTTCGGGGATCCTAAAGCAGAGAGGGGTGAGCGAGGGACTGTGGCCCCGGGAGATGCTCCACGGCTGGGGAGGGGGCACGGCCGCTGCCATACAGGGGGTCCCACACCCGGCACAGCCCGGCTCTGTCCGTCCCTGGGGATCTGGGGCTCGGAGCCTCAGGCATCGTGTGCCTCCAGCCCCTCCTTGGCTCCCCCCGGGCGGCCGAGCGCAGTTTGGGAAGCTGTTTTGAGTTTCCCCTTTTCTCATGTCCTCCTACCTTTGGCTGGTGAGAAACAGACGCTCCCAGCTATACCCTCTGGGTGTTGTTTTCTCCTAACAGGTATTTGCTATCCTAGGCTAATAGAAAGGGAATCCCATTTTCCAAACGCAGGGGAAGCTCTGACAAAGCTGTCGCTCACCGCCCTCCCCTGTGCCTCCTACAAGTTAAAGCCTCATGAGCAGAGCATTTTTTCCTAGACATGCAGCCTTTTCTTTAAGAACTGGACAATTTTTCACAATAATTCCATCTCAATGGCCCAATTTAAGCGATACCCGTAGCGCTGAAACTTTCTGACCCTCAAGAAGAGCCTTTTGCTTTCAGCTTCAATTTGTTCAGGTATTTTGTCCTCCCCTGACAACCCAAGAGAGTGCTCTGATCCTGTAACAAGCCCTTTGCTTGCTAGTTCGCACGAGAAAAGAAAACCAAAAACCGGTCCACTGCCACGCACTGACCCTGGGCAAGCTTTTAAAAGCGGTTTCCCAAGGATCTTGCCGGCCCCACGCGGATGCCTGGCGCAGAGGCTGGACACAACTCATTGCAGCTCCCGTGGCAGAGCCGGGTGCCACCTGCACGCACTTACCTCGGGCTCGGCAGAGGAAGAGGAAGGAGAGGAGGAGGAGGAGGACGTCATGCTCCATGGCTCTGCTGGGGCAAGGCAGGAATTGGGGCGGAAGCTCAGGGCAGGCGTGGGGGGAGGCTCAGCCCCAGCTCTGCATCCGCTGCCCCCCACATCTCCTGGGAGCCCCCCCCAGCCCCCTCACCCCGGGTTGGGGGGGGGGGGGGAATCTTTGGGCTCCCCGATGGGCCCGATCCTGCTGCTCGGGGCCGGCAGATGCGTCCACACGTTACAAACCGCCGCCGTGCAGCTTCTCCCGACGCAAGCTGCAAAGGGAAAGCAAAACCCCCCCAAAAACCGCTGCCCCCCCCCCCCCCGCCTCCAGACCTGGGTAATTAGTTTCCTCTGAGGTTTGTAGCCGCCCAGTCCCACAGCCAAGCTCTCTGGGGCAGCTGGCGACACGTCCCTCTGCACCGTGCTCTACTCCTGGGGTACCCCGCCATCCACCCCGGTGGAGGGTTGGGCTGGGGGGGCGGGGGGGGGGACACAGCGGGGGTGAGAGCGGCGACGTGGAGGAGATCACACAGAAGCGGAGGGTGCAAAGGAACCGCAGGCGGGAGAGGAAGTTGCTGCTGGACAGTCGCTGGGGAGGGGGGGGCCGGGGGGGGGGGGGGTTGCAGCTCCCTGGTTGCAGGGAGCTCATTTGAGTGCCCCCCGCTCCCCGGAGATGCGCCGGGATGGGGGTCCCCGGTGCCCGGCGGTGCTGCTGTGCCTGGTGCTGCTGGCCGCGACCGGCGGCCGAGGTGAGGAGGGGGACGCGGTGCTGGGCTCGCTGGGGGAGTCTGGGGGTGGGTGAGCCCCCCCCCCGCGCCGGCGGCATTCGAGGGGGTGCACGGGTGGGGAGCGGGGGGAAAAGGCTGCCTGGCGGTGCCGCTGCCCCCCAAAGCGCCCACAGACACTCAGACCGGGGGAGGGCTGCGGGGTGACGGGGAGCGAGCCAGGCGGAGGGGTCCCTGGGGAGATGAAGCGGGGCTGGGTGATTTTTTGTTTTGTTTTGGTTTGTTTTTCCTTTTTTTTTTTTTTTTGTTTGTTTGGTTTTTTGTTGTTGTTGTTTTTTTGTTTGTTTGTTTTTTTGTTTTGTTTTGTTTTTTGTTTTTCGGATTTTTTTTTTTTTTTTTTTTGGTTTTTCTTTAGTTCTCTGTGCCTGGTCCTGCCCAGAGCAGACGGAGCGGGAGCGGCTCTCGTGCAGTGCCAGTTCCACTTTGCGGGCAGCCTTGCTGCCCCACGGCACATGGGGCTTGGCCGAAAGAAGCCACTTCCCCGCCGGAGCAGCACCCACACCCCGTGGGCAGCACCCACCTTTCCTGCACACAGAAACGCAGTTTTTTCAAGGCTAGGTCTCTCCACCGAGCACACACAGCACTTTTTCCCCCCGTTGATTTCTCCGGAGCTGACGGTAGCTCCTAAAAACAGGAACTTCTGCATGAGGGGAACAGAGAAAAGCCGGGGCTTGGGGGGACCTGGAGCATCTCCCAGCTGCAGACCCTCCCTCGTGCCACCCTTCCCTGCTCTCGATGCGACCAGGCGAGCATCACCTCCACCTTCCCTCTCCCACCACCCCAAGATGCATCTCCCAGCCCCATTACTCACCCCGGTGGTGCAGGGCTGGGGGGAGGCTCTTTGCTGCTCGGGGGTGTACAAGATGGGGTGTTGCTTGCTCGAAGCAGCAGAGCCTGCAGCAGCCACAGGCTCAGCTGAGCTGCAAAACCTCCCCGAAGGTACCAGTGTGGTTAACCTACGGCGTGCTGCACCGGCCTGACCCAGCGCTCGCTCTGGCTATAGGCAGGGGGTTATGATCAGCTCTCCAGGCTGCAGGGTGTTTTTTTTTTTTTTTTTTTTTTGCATCATTTCTTCCCCCATTCTGCACACTCACTTCTCTAGCACCCTGTCTCTGGGCCAGGTCCTTGCTGGAGCAGCTCCAGGAGCCTAGGATGAGGGCATTAAGGTGCCCTCACAGCTTTCTTGGGGTACTAGATGCCTGCAAAGCAGTAGTAAGTGGTAATCCCTCTTTCTCACAGGCTCTTTAGCACCCAAAGTGGTGGGGAGGGCTCCCTTTGTAAGGAGCTGCAGGTCCCAGGTGTGAACCATCTGGGTGGGAACTGATAAATGGTGCCTGCTCCGGAGCATGCTCCTTTATTTCCTCGGGAGATGATGCTTCTGTCTTTGCTTGCTCCAACCTTTCCTATTTCTATATCTGTGGAGTATAGGGGTGTCCCCTCCGCACCCCAGGATGCCATGAGGACAGGCGTCCTCATGCCTGCAGCTTTGCAAAGACCAAGGTTTACGCTGGAGTTGCTGGGGCTCTCCTGGCCGTAGGGGGGAGGTAGCAGAGGTGGTGGCAGGGCTCCGCGTTCACACCGGTTGCACAGAGGTGAAGTCCCCCCCCCCGGAGGCTACAGGATGGGGGGGCTAAGCCGAGCTGCCGGGGGGTTAACACTTGCTAAGCTGGGCTTTGCTGAAGGCTTCAAGGTTCTGGGAGCTGTACTCTGCAAAGTCCACCAACGGCTGAGGCAGCCCCCCACGCTGCCCTGACCACATGCAGCCCTGAGGAAGCCACGAGGCTCTGTGCACACTCTGCACACTCAGCTGTGGGTGATTGTTTGTTTTAGGGGCTTTTTTTTTTTTTTATCTCACTTCTGCCAGAGCCCTTGACATCCGGGGTTGCACTGAAAAGAGGGAGGTGAGCACAGAGACTCAAGAAAAAAAGGGTCCAGTGAGTAAAATTCCTGCTGTTCCCCAGGCTGGATGGGCAAGGAAGGAGCTGGGGCACAAAAGAGCAACTAGATGTTACTATCGGAGGGTCTGTGGCCATCCCTGGCCAGACACACAACCAGCCTGGGATGGTGCAGAGAGAAGGGAACCCCCAACTGGGGGTGCTGATGGGGAACCAGGTTGAGCTTGTCCCTGGGGAGCCAAGGAGGGGCTGTGCTGGGGGTTGCAGGTCCAGGGCACGGGTGGGATCCAGCGGCCGTGCCCCCTCCCCAGCCGTGGAGCATCTCCCGGGGCCACGGTCCCTCGCTCACCCCTCTCTGCTTTAGGATCCCCGAACTGCCGGGAACAAGCCGTGTCTGCCGGGGGAACGCTGCAGCTTCTGCTGGGGAAACCCCCGAAGGGGTGGGTGAGGGTTGAGTGGAGAGCGAAACTGGATTTGGGATACCAGCACCGGATCCTGACAGCTGAGCATAATCAGTCTGTCGAGTTTTCCATGAGTCCTTTTTCTGGGAGAACTGAATTCCAGCAGGAAAACTTCTCCCTGCGGATCAGCCCGGTTAGCACGGCAGACAGTGGAGAGTATCGGGCAGATTTTGAGGACTCCTCAGGCGCTGTCACTGACCAGTGCTTCCACGTGTCGGTGTGGGGTGAGTAGCTGGGTCCCCATCACCCCGTCCCCCTGTCCCCCCCATCCCTTCTCACCGGCTCTGTCCCCGCAGAGCCCGTCCACCGGCCACACCTGGACGCGCGCATCCTGCACCGGGAGCAGGACCGGTGCAACCTCTCGCTGGTCTGCACCGTGCCCGGTGCCGGCGATGTCTCCTACAGCTGGTCCTGTGGTGGGGATCCCCCGGGAACCCCGCAGCCCCAGTCCCGGCTGCAGCTGCAGGTCCGCGGGGACACCGACCCCACCGTCTGCCGCTGCAACGTGAGCAACCCGGTGAGCTGGGACACGGCCAGCACCGACATCGTGGCAGCCTGCCGTGCTGCGGCCTCAGGTAATTTGTCCTCAGGTGTGAAAAAGCAAGATTTAGGGGGGTGGGCAAGCCGCACTGTTTCCAATCCTCTCTCATGGCCCTTCGTCTCCCTTCCTGGGCCAGTGAAACTGTGGAGGACGTCATGCTGATGTTAAAATGCCAGCTTCCCCTCCTGGGAAAGGAAATGTGATAGCTGAGCAAGGGTGAAGTAACCAGGGCTGAGGCTTCCTGGCCAATTCTCTTCCCCTTGCGCTGTCGTCTGTGTGCTGGGATGGAGAATGTGTTCAGCTTGAGGCTTTGCCCCACATCGAAGCTTTACCCTTCTCCTTCCTCTGCAGGGCTTTTCAGTATGATTCCACAGTGGGCAGTGGCCTTGGCCCTGGGGCTGGCACTGGCCACCTCCATAGCCCTCGCTGTCTCCTGTTACTGGTGGAAGAAGCGGAGGAAGGACCCCTCAGGTTTGTCCCGGGGGTTGATGTGGTGGCTCGTGGGACAGGCAGCTGTGGGGTTTTGGCTGTGCGGCCCCTCCTCTCCCTCCCGACTGCTGTCACGCTCCCCACGCTCTCCGTGCTGGCCCTGGGCTTCTCCCTCCTCCTGGGGCTGATGTGGGACAAGCCACTGGGCGCTGTCACCCTCTGCCAGGTGCCACAGAGAGCACGAGGTCTATGCCCATCGCGGCTGACTCAGGGTGATGAGCTGGATGAAGCAGCCAGCACCCCAGGCATTGGTGCCCAAACCTGGAGGCCTCATCCCACGGGGTCTAGAGGGCTGCTTGGGTTTGGATATTCATTTTATGCTGAGCTGGAGCATCCCTCCCCAGCCCCTGCCAGGTGCCAACAAAGTGAAACCTCCCACTGCCAAGGGACCTCTTTCTCCCACCGCTTTGCTTTGCTTGAGGGCTGAACCCCCCCAATCCGGGGGCTCGAACACATCAGCTGCCTTATGCTGACCCTTCAAACTCCCCCAGGACACGTCGAGCAGCCACTGACTGTCTATGAGGAGGTGGGCAAAACCCGAACCAACCGAGACCCCGTGAGTGCTGGGGGTGTCCCTGGGTGCCCCCTCCCTGCATGGCCCAGAGGGACGGGACCTCTGGAAATGTTTGTCACCCCACGTTGGCTCCTTTAACCAGGCTGGGGTTGCTTTCTCCCCCAGAATGGCACCAGTGAAGCCACCGTGGGAGGAAACACCATCTACGCTGTCGTCTGTAACAAGGCTCAGGTAGGGTCAGTCCTGCGCTGGAGTTGGGGGTGGGAATGGAGCTGCTGTGCAGCCCCTGGGCTGGATACATCCACAGCAGCTTCCAAGACACCCCCCCCCACACACCTTTTGCCCCACATTTCTTTTCCTTTCTGCATCTTGACCGTTTTTTTCCCTTGCAGGGACCCAGATGCTCTCAGGAGCCCGAAAGCTGCACCATCTACTCCACGGTTCAGCCCAGCAGGAGGGTGAGGTTGCCCCGCTGTGACCCCGGCCCCTCTGCAGCGGCCCAGAAACCCGGGTCCCCTCGGTTCATCAACCGGGTGCTGGGCTCACCGTCCCGCTCGTGTGTTGCCTAACGGCAGGTTCTTGCTCTGCTCCGCAGTCTCCTTCTCTCAGGAGGAAGAGGCTGGACCGAGCTTTGGTTTCCACTGCCTACGTAGAGGTAACGGGCACCGGAACGGTGAGATGAGCCTTGGGTCTCTCCAAGAGCTCATCAGATTTTGGGGCTGGGGGCGTGTTTAACCCTAACCCTTTCCTTGCAGGCTACGGGGGGTTCTAGACACTGGTGCCCACCGTTGCAGACCTCACCTTTGGCTTCTGCCAGCCATCACCTCTCCTAGTGCCCTGGTTGTCTTGGCAAGACCTGCCCTTCCCTTCGGGCCTCTTCTCCCGGAGCACCCAGAGACCTCCAGCACCCACTGGGATCCCACCCAGCAAAGCCAAGGGCTCGCTCGGGATGGAAACGGTCAGACACGGGTTTCTGCAAGGCTGCGAAACCCCAGCTGCGCCTTGGAGGCTTTCCTGCGAGGGAAGGGGGAAGGACTCGGCGATGGGAACCTGCCTTCGGAGGAGATGGATGTGAAATTGGACCGGCGGGGTTGTGGCGGGGAGAGGATATGTGATGTGCGTGTGATCTGGGGGGGTTTTTTAGGTCTTGACAGGTTCGATACACCTCTGGAATTTATTTTTTAGGTGTGAATATAAGCTGAACTGCATGAGGCAATTGTGGTGCTTGTTTAATTAGCTTAACTGGCTGTTTATAGCCTGAAATGTACCTTGAGCATGGGGAGGGAGTGGGAATTGCCTTGTTTGTCGCTCAGGAGCCTCTGAAGTGATCGCAGCCTCGTGCGGAGATGTGCTTTGCAGAGGTTGTTGAGTGTGTCGGGTAGGGGAGAGGGGGCCCTGGGCAGGACAGTCCCCCGGTGAGCTGAGTCCCAGGATGCTGCCACATCCCTTCCCACCTACGTTATCCCGTGCTCCTCCAACACGAGCGGCCCTGGGAGGAGGAGGTGGAGGAAGAGAGAGGGACTCTGGCTTCAAAGATCTTCCCAAAAGGCAAGATCAAGGGCTTTTCTTCGGGATTAAAATGAAACGTGACACTTTGATGGCAGCATGGGGAGCGGCGGCGGCTCCGCAACGTCCCCGAGTGCCCGAGTGCCTGGATCAAAACAGCTTTGTGGCTGCTCCCTGTGAAACGAGCATTAATTGGGATCATTAACGGAGCTGAGCTGGGAGGCTGGCACGGGGAGGGAAGTGGGGGGGGGGTCTGGCTGCAATTTAGGGGGCTGTGCTGGTGTGGATGGGGGGGTTCAGGCACAGCGTGCCAGTGCTGCCACTGGAGCTGGGCTGGTTTATGCCATCCCGAGTCCCATCCTCTGCTTTTCCCGATGTGCAGGTGTGAAGCAAATACACCTTGCACTGTCAGGGTGCATCCCCCTCCGCACGCAGCCGGCGGCCTCGATGGAGAGGGGGCAGCAGGGCCTGTGGCTGGCTGAATTCGGTGGGAAAAGTTCAGGAAGGACGGAAATCCGTCAGCGCAGGCGCCGGGGATGTGGTGACAGTCTTTGCTGGGCTGCGGCTGCTGCCTGCGAGCGGGGGCTAAAGCAGGAGCCACATCTCAACCCCTCTGCAGCCTGAAACGCCGGGTCCCTGCGCTCCTGATGAGCAGAAACGTCTGAAGGCGACAGCACAGAGCCCGGGGGCTGCTGCATCCATCAGCACGTCGGGCCCCCGCCGCAGCCATGCTCCGTCGCAGCGCTGTAATTGGTGCTAATGACCCTCTTTCTGAATATTGGACATAATTTGCAGCTCTCGCACTGCAAGCACTGAGGCAGCACTTTGCTCCCTGCCAGGGTGTTGTGGTTTAGGCCTGGTTGGCAGCCAACCACAATGCAGCACCTCTCTCTCCCTTCCCCTCCGGCAATGAGAAGGGACAGAGAGCCAGGCTTGGGGTTCAAGATAGGACTGGGATGGGGAAAAATCCCCCTTTTCTGATCACGAGCAAAAGGCAGACTCGTTAGGGGAAGAAAAAAAAGAACATACATTTATTACAGACACTAACAACACATAACAGAGTAGGACAGTGAGAAGCATTGCCACATCTTGAGAACACCTTCCCCCCACCCCTCCCTTCTTCCCGGGCTCAGCTCTGCTCCCGATAGCTCTACCTCCTCCCCCAGTGGCGCAGGGGCAGGGAATGGGGGGTGCAGTCAGTGCTGCCACTTTCTTCATCTTCGGTGAGGGGAGTGTTCGGAACTTGTTCCTCCTGCTCCATCGTGGTCCCCCTCTCACAGGAGACAGTCCTCCACAAACTTCCTCCGACTTCAATTCCTCCCATGGGCCGCAGCGTTCCCCACACTGCTCTGTCATGGGTCACTAACTTCCTCCGACTGGATTCCCTCCCACGGCTGCAGCCCTTCCCGAGCTGCTCCGGCGTGGGACTCCCCCGCGTGCTGCAATCCTCCCAGCGCTGAATTACAGCAGCGGGGCTACCTTTTCCCATGAGAACCCGGCCTTCTTCGGGCACAGCACCTTGATCACTGAGCAGGAGCAACAGGCCATAAATCAGTGTCTGCTCCACCGTAGATCTTCATGGGTGGCAGGGGGGGCCGCCCTGCCGTCTCACCACAGGATACAGGGGGGTCTCTGCTCCGGCACACCTCCCCCCTCCTTTCTTCCTCCGTTCCTCCACTGACCTTGGTGTTCATGCAGCTGCAGCAGCTCCTCCTCACAAGTCCCACTGCCCGTCACCACGTCCCTTCTTAAATACGTTATCGCAGAGGCGCAGCTGATTGGCTCAATTTCCCAAACAGACGTGGAGCTGGCTTGGAGCTGGGGGAGCTTCGAGAAGCTTCTCACAGGGGGCTGCCCCGATAGCCCCCTCCCCTGCCACCAAAAAACTCCACCACTCACTCAACCCAGAACACAGGGGGAATTTGCTTTCCCAGCTCCAGCAGTTCCTATGGGCGTGGGGACGAGCCGGCGGGTGCTCGGCACCGCGGTGCCACCGGATCGGTGCTGGCGAGCCGGCCGCAGCATCGGCACCGCGTGGCTGCTGGCGTGCTGGCACTAACGTCCCCATCCCGTGCTGACACCAGATCTCCCCCCACGCTGGACGGGGACCGCTCGGAGCTGGGATTAAACTGGGCCAGTGCTCAGCGGGTGCCGCCGTCGCCCTTTGTTCATGGCCTGGGTCAGCCCCGGTGCTCTGCGCTCGGGGCCGGGGAGGTGCATGGGAAGATGCTGCGACCGTTTGGCCCCGACACGGGGGCTGTGCTGGCTTCGCTGCCCCACGCGTCCCACGGCTGGTGCCCAACAAAGGCCCTGGAATATTGGCTTTCAGGAAGGAATCCAGGCTGTAATTAAAATCCTTCGTTTTAAGCATCTGCCCTGGTTGGAGTCCGGTGCACTGGAGCTGCAGCTTTAGCATCAGCATGTCATCCCTCTTGTCTCTCTCCCACCCGCACTGGTTGCCTGCAAATCGGGGTCACAGGGACACCCCGACACTGGTGCTGGTGGTCCCCACTCAAGCTGGGGCTGCTCGATGGCACATCCAGGGGCTGGCCCTCGCCGAGGACACGGACCTGGGTTTGCAGGAACTCTGTGGGTTGGTTCCGGCAGCCGCGAAGGGAAAGATGTGGCCCCTGGGCTCAGCGTTTGAGTCACCGTCAGGATGGTGGGGTGACTCTGACGGGAGGGGGGGTTTGGGGTGCTGTGCGTTGGTGTCGCTGCACTGTTACCCTTCCTCCTTTGCAAACCCGGAACGAGAGGGAACAGAAAACGAAGGCTCTGTGGTGGCTTCATCCTGTTACCCCTCTGTGAGGCTGCATCACCAACCCCTTCCCTGCCGAGAAACCCCCCAGCCCCGGCTTTAAGCACAGTGGCAGGGGGGTTTCTGGCTCGGGGGGGGGGGGGTCCCTGGTGAGCAGCTGCCCGGCGAGGGGGGATTTCCACCCCGAGGTTTGGGTGTGCACGCAGGGAGAAGATGGCGGCGGAGCTTGCGACGGTGCTCTTATTCCTCTCCACGCAAGGTACGGCGGTGGGTTCCCCCGGGCTGAGGGTGATGGGTTGGGGGGGGGGTGGGAGATGGCTTTGGGGATGGTGGGGGGGACCTCGGGGATGTGCCAGTGGGTCAACCCTCTCTGTTTCCCGCTCTTCCCCCTGGATTTTCCCATCCAGGTGTGGTGCCCTTCCCACGGGAGCTCTCGGTATCGCCACCACCATGCTGGGGGGGTGAGCGGCAGCTCCGGGTGAGCCTGGAAGGAGGAGAGGAGACCAAAAATGAAAGCGAAGGGGGGAAAAAGCACTTCACACGGGGATCTTGGGTGGTCCTGTGCTCGGGGGGGGGGGGGAGGCTGAAATCCTGCCATCAGCTTTAGGGGTTGTCCCTGCAACACGCCTCCGAGGCCGAGAGATCGCAGAGGTGTTAGGAATTAGTGAGCAAAGGGGTTACTTGCATTTTCCATGTGTCTGGGAGGAATCTGAAGTCCCCAAGCAGGGGTGAGTTCTGGGGAAGGGGTGGGCTGCGTCCGGCTGGTCAAGCAGCACTGGTCTCGGCTTTTTCAGCAGCCTGGGCACAGCATGGTCCGCTGAAGGTGGTTGGGGCTGTTCACGAGGTGGTGTATCTCAGCCCCAGCCTAAAAAACCAGAAACCCTACCACCAAATCCACTGGCGACGCAACAACTCTGTGAAGATCGCCAGCCGGGACAGCAGGTCGAAGGTCCAGTACCCCAACAGCACTTACAAGGGACGCCTGGAGCTCTTCCCCAACAACACCCTAAAAATCAGCCACCTGCAGAAAAGCGACAGCAGCATGTACCAGGTGTACCTGGAGGATGAGGTGGGCGAGGAGCACATAGAAAACATCCTCCTGACGGTGTACGGTGAGCTGGGAGGACGGGGGGGGGGGGGGGGGGGGTTGTCCCAGCACCACGTGGAGGGATGGGGAGGCCGTGACACCCCGCTGCCTCTTGCAGATCTCGTCCCGAAGCCCACCGTGAATGTCAAAGTGGTTAGGGATGACCTGACGTGGTGCAAAGCCACCCTGGAGTGCTCGGTGGGGCTCGAAGGGGTGACCTACGAGTGGATTTCCCCCAGCAAGCTCCCGCTGGAGGGGGTGGGTGCCTCTGTGCAGCACGTCTCCTTCGACCCCTCGACAGAAACCTACATCTGCAAAGTCAGCAACCCTGTCTCCTCCAACAACGCCTCGCTGACCTACAGGCACCCTTGCTCCTGGGCAGGTACCGCCCGTGGCGCACGCACCAGGCGGCAAAACTCGGGTGGGCTTGGCTTTAGGGAGGGGGGGGGGGGGGGGTCCCTGCAGCAGCGGCGGGGACCCCGAGGACAGCGGGTTCCTGCAAGTGCAAGGCTGGAGGTGGCCCGTGGGGTGGGAGGGGTGGGTCGCTTTTCCCCCTCTGCATCGTGGGCTGGTGGGTGGCAGAAACCCACCTGGGGAGGGGGTTGGGGGGTCCCCTGCCACGGCTGGGCAGCCCACAGCCTTCCCCACGCCCCGGGGTCTTCCTCTGCCTCCAGGTGAGTCTTCTGCTGCCTCATCCTGTGCTACCACCAGCGTGCTGATGGCCCTGGGACACCACCTCCTCCTCCTCCTCCTCGCTCTGGCTTAAGGACACCTTGTAGTTGCCATCTCCCCTTGCCTCATCGCCCCTCCAGCCGTGGAACAAGCACCTGGATGAGGCCCCCCAAACCGTCCGGATGCAGAAAGACACAGTTGCTCAAAGGAACCACTACAACCAGTGCCCGTTACGCCAGCACCCACTGGGTCTCATCCACAGCCGCCTGCTTCCCCGCCAGCTCAGGCCCTGGTTGCTTTGACGCTGCCTTCAGGGTAGCTCTGTGCCTCAGTTTCCCCTCTCACCTTTTCTGCTTTGCTTTAACCAGCGGTTGTGCTCTCCAGATCTGAACAGAACTAGGCTGAAGTCTGTCGCAATGGTGTTTTGAGAATGGCAGCAATCTGAATTGCTAAACTCGTGACTAACCGCTTCTCTCCCTGACCACGAGATCTGTGGGGAGACACAACCCGAGCCTTTCCTGGGGCTCCTCGTGGACTTGGGTGGTCCTCAGCCATCTCCTGCTGTTGGTGATGCCCTTTATGGAACTGATGACCAGTGTGACAGTGCAGGACAGTGCACGGTATGTTTAGCCTGAAACCAGTGACACCAGCACGGGTGCAGCTGGGTGCTGCCCAACCTCCAGGTCTGGAGCACCAGAGCATCTCGAGGTGGCAGAGCCGAGGTGGCACCTCTGGCTTTCCCTGCAAGGGAGGGTTTGGCAGGGCGAGTACCATGTCTGCCTTCAAAACTATCTGCGAATATATTAAATTAATTTTAACCCGAAACCCTACATTTTTAGGTGCCTGTTCTGCATTCTCCTCTGGACTGGGGCCGGCTGCAGCGGGTGCTCAGGGCCTGGGGGACGACGGAGGGGGGAGCTGGGTTTGCCCCCCAGCACCCTTGCTGGGGACAGGAACCCTTCCACAGTTGTCCCCAGGGGAGGACCCGGCTCTGGCTGGTGGGACACTGGCCCTTTGGGGTGGGAGGATGTGTCTGCTGGGGATGGTCCCTCAGCCTGCAAGGAGGGATGGGGGACGTGTCCCAGGGCCCTGGGATGCTGCTGCTCCTGCCAGCTGGAGCAAACCAGCCTGAGAAAGAGAAGAACCGGGCTCCAGCCTCCGTAAAACCCAAGAGGCATCACTTCCCAGAGCCATCTTTAAGCAAAGACTCCTAAGGCCAAATTCATCAAAGGGTCAACTGGGACCTCGCCAGCTCGTTTGGAAAATCAGTAATGAGCACGAGTCATTCCAGCTCCCAGGTCTAATGAGCAGCTCTGGGTAATTCCTGGCAGGTGGCTGAGGGTTTTAGCACCAATGTACATTTTTGCAGAAATTCCCCCCCACCCCTGTCTTGAAAGTATTTGCTTGGGTCTTGCTCCATTCCCATACAGATGTCTGGGGCTCTTCTGCCTCTGACAAAATCCAGGATGACCAGTGAGAACCATCATAAAACCTCTTGTGATGAATAAACGTGGAACCCAGCGCAGTGCCTCAGTCATCTTTCTAGCCTGAGCTGATGGGGAAAGTATGCCTTTAGGATCACTATTTTTGGTTAAAGAAGGTTTTTCTGTGACTGCCTGTAATGGTTTTTGTGCCCCCAGGTGCTTCCTGGAAGGATTTTATTTATTTATTTATTTATTTATTTATTTATTTATTTATTTATTTATTTATTTATTTATTTATTTATTTTTCCTTGATGATTTTGTTTGTTAAATTATTTTTCCCATTTCTTGGGACCGGTGCCAGCCCTGAGGCGCGCTGCTGTTGCTAGTGCCCCATGAGTGATACTTGGATTTTAGGGCTTTCCTGGACCAGTTTGGGGTCAGTGGTGTTCCCCGTGCCAGCACAACGTGGACGGGGCACCCATCCGTGACGAGGGAGGGTTGGCGACGCCCACTCTGGGAGGGCCAAGCTGGTGGAGCCCATCCACTGGAGATCTTCCTGCCCTTGTGCTCTTCGGCTGGGATTTGTGCCGGGGCACCTTGCTGCTCTGCAAAATACCCCCAGATGATTTTTTTGCCCCTCCATCATCTGGCCAAGCGCTCGGTCCAGGAGCCGGCTCCCGCGTTTCTGCTGAGCTGAATCTCCCGGTGTACGTGCGGTGAGAAAAGGTGCCGTGTCTCTTCGTGTTACTCTTTCTCTTCCCTTTTACGCCTCTGCTGAGTTCTTCCCTTCTGTGAACAGCTGATTATTGAGAAATGGCTTGGTTTTATTTTTGGTTGTTTTTTTTTTTTTTTTTTTTTTTTTTTTTTTCTCTCTTGTCCAGATGTTTTCTGATAAGGAAGGAGAAGCCTAGCAGAATGCTGGGGTGGTTTAGTGTGCTTTTAGGCTTTTTGTCATTAGAAATACTGTATTGTCAACAGAACTCATGGAGGTCTTGGAGTTTGTCTCCACTGAAAAGCTGTGGGATGTAAGGTCACTCTTTATTTCCTTGGGGCGCTCAGATTTGGTTTAAACCAGCAGACGAATTCCTGTTTCATGCTGCCGCCTCTGCCCTCCTCTGAAAAGCAGAAAAAGCAACAAAAACTTGAAGAAACCAATAGGAAAAAACCCTTATCCCATTTTTAAAGCTGCGCGGGCCGAGAGCTGATGGAGGTGAATAATTCATTCCACTAAAACCACAAAAACAACTGAGCTTTTCTCACCATTTTCCCGCGGTGGAACAAGCGAGCGGTGTTTTCCGCACATCTCCTCCCTGAGCGCTCAGCCCAAGAACAAGGATTAGGGTTCTTCCTCTAGATCCCACGCAGTCCAAAGCAGGGTTAAGGGTTAATCCCAGAATATTTGGGGTTTTTTCAGCCCCATGGTGCTGGGATTAAGCAGCCGTGCGGGGGGGGAGCAGCCGCTCGCCTCCACCCCCGCTGCGGTAGCAAGGTTTGAAGGCTCCGTACAGCCCCAGGAAGCTGTTACAGTATGTGAAATTATTTTCTTGCTAGTTGTTTCCTCTTCTCTTGGGGTCGGGTTAAGGACCCATGGTAGGATGATGCAGTTCTGGTAAAAACTATAAATTGATGCTCTGCTTCTCTCTGCAGGTCTCTTGGGCTGCTGAAGTGTTCAGCAACACGACTCAGTGCTTTGAATACTTTCCACTCAAAAAACCAGTGAAAAAGTCATTCAGCCAAAAACAGGAAACACATGGCCCAGAGCAGCACCCCTGATTTGAGTATACCTGCTCTTATAATGAGCCCAGCAGCAGATATTAACTCCACTGCCGCAGAAGCTCCGTGAACCGAGGCATGGGCTGCAGCGTCTGTCTCTGGCTGCTGATCTCTCTCAGCCGTGTTTGGGGTATGTACGCTTTTCTCTCTGTCAAACACTCGCTTCAGATTGTTTGGGGATTTTTGTCAGATATTAAGACCTTTAGAAATCACGAGCTGCGTGCCAGGCGGACGGGCGGATCGGGTATAAATATTCATACAGAAGATAAATGGCTCGCAACTCCAAGCTGGATGTGTGGCGCATCCCTAATACGCTCCTACTAGTCAGGCTGAGGAGGGAGAGAATAAAAGATGATGAATGAACAAAGACGGTGATGGACAAAGTGTAGCTGCAGCAGTGAAACTCTACTGTGTGTTGTAACAGAGTATTAATAGCACTGAGCAAATAATTTAGCACCAGATGTGAACTGGGGTACTTGAGATGAAGGTCCTCGGTGGATTGTCTCTCCGCGATTGTGAGTCTCCTGGATCAAGATGTGCCAGTGGGCTGGGGGATGGTACCCAAGCAATAAAATGTGTGTAAGGTGGGGGGGAAGGGACTGGCAGTGGGGCAACGCCCACTTTTTGGATGCCTAGAGCCTCAAGGATGTCCTTGAGGAGTCGAAATCCCCCCCCTCGCCCCCAGATCAGCTGAGCGGGGAGCGAGGACCACCCAGACCCCCCCCAGGAGCGCCTGGGTTCTCTCCCCCCAGCCCGTCGGCAGTGACAGGAAGATGTTGCAAAGTTAGTTTCGGTGACAGTGAGCCTGCACAAAAGCGCTCGAGTGTCGGGGCCCCTGAGCAGAGGAAAAGGAGCTGCGACAAGTCCTGACCCTCCTTTTGGTGCCAGCTTGATGCCCGTTCCCCTTCCCTGGGGACACTTTGTGTCATCACAGCCCCAGGAGCCCTCTGCTCCTCCAGCTGTGGAATTACCGGCTGCGAAACGAGGGGCTCGGCCAGGAAAAGAGAAACTTTGGCAGAGCTGGGCTTTCTCCTCGGCTTTTCTCGCTTACTGTTACTAGAATACCTGCCTTTAAAATCCCCCCGGGGTTTTCTGCCTGGCCAGCCCATCGAAAGTCAAAAGTCCCAGGAGCAAAATACCTGATGTGAGGGCTGCTCCGGCCCAGCACCCCGCCAGCAGATCGCTTGCCTCCCTCCAGCCCCTCCATCACTGCAGCTCAGGTGGTTTCAGCCCTTTTTACCTCATTCCTCCCGCAGCCTTGCTCCAGCCGAGTTGTCTTCCCTGCCAAGGAGATGCTCCTTGCCGGGGCAGAGGGTTTTTCTAACATGATGCAAAAAGGGCTTTTCCATTTGGTAATTACTGAGGAGCCTAACCGCTGCACGTCAAGAGTACGTGTTGCTGAGCAAATACAGCATCCGTGCGCTGGGCTTTACGGTAAAAGTCTCAGCAAAAAATGTATGAGGCACCGGGTCAGCTGGGCCGTGGGCTTTCTGTGGGATGACAGCTGTGTCTGCATGGCCGCTTCGATGCTGGGGAGACGTCGTCCACAGAGACAGCTCAGAAACTGCTGCGCTTTGTGCCGTGGCAGGGCATAAGGTAAGCGATGGTGCTCACTTGGGATGTCGGCAGAGAGACCGTTGTTCGCTCTGTGGTTTTTACCGGGACCATATGTGCTGCAGGAGGGGTGGGCCTCCCCAGATCTGCTCTTCTGGGGTTGTCCCCCCTCTTTTCTTTTTTTTTTTTTCCCTCTGAGGCAAAGCCTCAGCCCGACGGAAAGAAGTTGGTAGGAAACAAGGGGGGGTGACATGGTGGAGTCCCTTCCACGCTGCCGGTGGCTGGCAGCAGCAGTGAGCTGACACCTCTCCCCACGCTGTTTCCTACAAAAACAAACTTGTTTGCCCAGGAGTGTGGGCAAATATGAGTCACTGCTTTGCAATGAAAGACAGGAAAGGGTCTAGGGGAGAAAATCCTCCTGCATGCTCTCCAGGAAATCCAGGTAGTTGAGATGCTTTGGGACGTGTGGGGATGTTTGCACCCCTCTTCTTAAGATCGCTTTTCCATGGCCACCAAGAAACACACCTGGGAGCAGCTTGACCAGGAGAAGGACAATGTGGGATTTACACCTGAGCCCACCTCTGGGAGGCTGCACTTCCTGCAATTTCTACGAAAAAATCTCCCACCGAAGGTTTCTGGATCTGAGGAGCTTGAGGGAGGCGGGTGCTGTGATGTGCACCCAACTGCAGGCTTTGGCCAAGAGCCACCAAGCATCACTTCCCTCTGGACCGCCCTGGTGTCACTGGGATTTCTCCAGGCTGGTCCCACTGCTACCAGCACCCTTCTCCCAGAACCAGCATCCCCACCAGACTGGAACCACAAGCCCCTTTCCCTGCTCGAGGCAGCCCTGCTCCACGGGATGATGTTTCACTGCGCTGCCTGGCTGTCCTTGTGCCAACAGAAAGTCCAGAGCCTTAAATCAGGATTTGGCCATCGTGCACAGTGGTGCCTGATGTGGGAGAGCCTGTCTCCTTGCTCTGAGAAGGCAAGAGTGGGGAGGAAGAGCAGAGGAAGACAATGCTTCCCCTCCGGCTCCTGACCCGAGCCCTCTACCCTCATCCTTTGGGGTCAAGGATGTGGGGCTGAGAGCTGGGGGTCTCTCCTTTGGTTTTGGGGGTGGTCCTGTGGGGCGGGTGTGGGGCAGAGCCTGCCCCGAGCCCTGATGGACAGCACGACTCCTGTTCCACGCGCCTGCAATTGCTGGTGCCGGGATGTGGTGGGTACCATGTTTTCGAGCTCTGGGTTTAGAGAATCTGTTCAATTTTTGACCGATTTATCTCATGCAACCCAAGGTGTCCCCGGTCTGTGGATTACCAGGGCGAGCCCAACGCCGTCGCTGGGTACCGCAGCTCTGCGGGCGGCTGCCCTCCTTCGGCAGAGCCGGGATGGGGGGACGATGGTCACCCCGAGTCCCCCCTGCCTGCCTCAGCCCTTCTCTCCGCTCTCCTCCCAGGCATGGGCCGCGGGGCGAGGGAGACGGTGCTGGGCACCTTGGGGAAGACGACGATATTGCGGATCCCCCCCGAACTCCAGAACCTCACCCTGCGCTTCGGGGCGGCTGTTTGGAAGCGGGACACGGAGGACCCGCAGAGTAAGCTCGTCCTGCTCAAGTACTTGGACGGCAACTACACCAACTACATGAAGGAACGAACTTTCTTCCACAAGTCGGACTTCTCCCTGGAGATCCTGAGCACGAGCCGGCAGGACAGGCAGCTCTACGAGTACATCGTCAGCAAGGGCCCGGAGGAGAAAGTCTGGCAGATACGGCTGGAGGTGTACGGTGAGACACGGTGCGCCGGGAGGACCGTGCTCGATGCTCCCGGCCTCTCGCGGTGCTGGGAGCGGGTCTGGGAGGTGGGGTGGTGGTCAAGGCGGGGTGGAAGATGACCACCCTGGTGTCAAGGTGCTGTAGGAGTCCAGGGCCCTCTTGCAGCCCTATCTGGATACCCCGAGGAGCATTTCTTTGGGCGCCTGCTGACCACGTCCCCCTCTGATGCCATTTGCGACTGGTCCAGGGCCAGGGCGGCTCCTTTCCATCTCCCAGGGATTTAGGAGAGGCCGGCAGGATCTCACAGGCGGGGCCAAGGCAATGTTTGCATCCTTCCACAGACACCAACTTCTGCCCCTTCCCTCCCCTTCTCCAGAGCCGGTGTCTGATCCCCGCATCGAGGTCCTCAGCTGGGCGCCGGCCAACGGCAGCTGCACCGTCACCCTCAACTGCACGGCGGAGCGAGGGGACAACGTCTTCTACAGCTGGGGCAGCCGGGACACCGGCACCTCGGGGCTCTGCTCCGGCAACGGCAGCCTCCTGCACTTCTCCTACCCCATGCAAAACTCAAGCATCACCTGCGCCTGCACGGCCAGCAACCCCGTCAGCAGCCGGGTCGTCACCTTCAACTCCTCCGAGTGCAGCTACGAGCAAGGGGGTAAGTCCCCAGGTGCCGACCCGCCTCTCTCCAGCCTCCCAGTCCTGCTCTTGCTTTGCAGGGGACTTTTTTCACGCTGTTTTAGGCAGCCTCCGAGGAGCCTTTTGCAAGAAAAGTGGCCGCTGTGTCACCTGTGCAGGGTTGCCCGGTCCTTCCCGTAAAAGCCGGTCACGGAGCCGTGGGTCCCGCCTGCCCCCCACCCCCCCTCCCCGGCCACCGCACTCGCTGCGCCCCGCTGCTCGAGGGTCGTTTTAAATGCATGCCGCTCCTACGCTGGGTGATTCAGGGACGATAAAAACCTCGGTGACAACTTCCCCCTTCGTAGGCTCTCAGGGCAAAAGTCACACTCTCTCTCACTGGGATTTTCTAGCACTCCCTTGTGACTCGGGGGGGACTTTCACTGGGGCCGGGCCGTGCGGTAGCTGCCCCTTGCCTGGGGACGCCGAGGCGAAGTCACATCTCTGCTGGGGCTCTCACAGTGACCTGTACCGAGAAAACATCCCTGTGGGAAAAACGGTTGGGACTCTTGCTTAGGAAAGGGAGATGCTGAAATGAGACGCTCCGGGGTGGGGTGGGGGGGTTTCGGACTTGTTTCTCACCCCCTCGCCCCAAAACCCCTTGCGCCACGGGACACCCCTGCACGGTGTCACCCTTAGTGGTCCGGGAACGGGGACGCCCCGGGTGCCGGCCCGGCTGGGAGCCGTGGAGCTTGGTCCCAGGGCCCTCTTCCTACACACCTGCGGCACAAGGGCGTTGTACAACGGGCCTGCCTCCCCGCAGGCCTCCGTAAAGCCACCGGAGACATTTTCAGGGCTTTATCTGGCCCTGATCTGGCTCCCAGCAGGTTTTTTTCACTGACTGTTGAAGTCTGGAGGCGATTAGAGACGAGCTCTGCTCAAGAGAAGCATTTCCTGCCCCTTGTTTCCTGTTTTACCAAAATCATCAGCTCAAAACTAGGTGATGGGATGAAAAAAGATTCTAGCAGCCTGTTCTGCTCAGCTCGGGGCGGTTGACCCCCTCCCCTCTTTTTCCCCATCCCAGGCAGCGCGGGGTTGAGGACGAAGCATCTCGTGCTGATGGTGCTGGTGCCCATCGCGGCAGCGATGATCCTCACCGGGGTCTTTGTGGCCATCCATTTGGTCACACCCACTGGTGAGTGCCACGAGGGAGGGGTGCCGGGGGCGGTTGGTGGTCCCGTGGGTGGGGTGAGCCTTGTGGGGGGGGGACAGATGTGCCCCCAGCCAGCCCCAACGAATGGACCAAGGGGTTGATTCCTGCGGGCCCCTTGTCTACGGAGTATCCTGGCAGTTGGGAAGGAGCGAAAAGTGTTTCTCTTGAAGCACAGAGTTAAAAGGCAGGAAGGAAACCAGCTTGAAAAAAAAAAAAAAGAAAAAAAGAAGAAATGTAGCTGCACATGATCTCTAACACTTTACACAGATGATGGGCTTCTGAGATCATATCGCACAGTCTCAAGGGGAATTGAGTGATCCCAGCCCAAATGAGAGAAAGCATCTTCTCTCCAAGCGCCTCAGCTGGGCTGTGTCCCTGCCTTTTCCCATTCCCCACGTAGCGAAAAATTTGCAAAGCTGACCTGTGGTGGCCAGAAATCCTCCGACCACAGCCGGGCAGCGGGCACCGTGCTGGGGACGGACCCCAGCGTGGGTTCACCCCCTTGCCGTGCCCTGGGGTACCGGAGCAGGATGCGGGTTGCAAAGCACCGGGGTCCCTCCCCGGTCCCCTCTCCCCTGGAAGCTCCGTGACTTTCTTATCCCCCCGCAGCCGGCCGGCAGCAGGAGCTCGCCAGGGACAACGCGGTGCACACGATCTACTCCCAAGTGCAGAGGGTGGAGGTGAGCCATGACCAGCGACCCCAGCTGATATGGGCGCACGGGGGCGGGGGGAAAAACTGCTCAGTTAGTGATGGAAATGCTCCATTAACAGTGGGACTCCAAGTGCTGCAGCTGGTGGGGAGCGCAGGCGCGACCTTGCTGGGGTTTTTTGGGCTCTTTGGGGGGTGTCAGACGGTGGCAGCCCGGCTTTGGGCAGCAGAGAAGGCAGCAGCACCCAAATTCCTGGGTCACTGCTGGGTGTTTCCTCACTGGTCCGCAGCACACTCTGTGATGGGTCGCTGGGTGTCAACGCAGTGGGGAGGGTGACATTGTGGCCAGGGGGAGGACTGGGGTGGCCCTGAGCTCCCTGGGGGTCACCCATCCTTGCCATTTCAGGAGTCAGCCTGGCCCCCGCTAATTTGAGAATCGCTGGGAATAAGGTTGGGAGCTGCAGCTTCCCCAGCACCCCAGGATGGCTCTGGGGACGGGCTAGGTGTTTTTTTTCCTTGCTCCCCAAATCCCACTCAGTGCAAACTGGGGAGGAAATGGTGGGTCCGTGTAGGGTGGAGAGAGGGAAGGGCCCCCCTGGCGAGCTGCCTGCTGCTGCTCATCCTTTGCTTTCTGTGCAGAAGCCGAAAGGGGCCCCCGCCGCCGAGCACCCCTCCTGCACCACCATCTACGCCGCAGCCACCGGCTTGCCCCCGGCCACGACCCCGGCCCCCGGCAGAGCCCCACGGCCCCCCTGCAACCCCCCGACAGAGCCACCCGCCCCATCCCACTCACAGGTAAGGGTGGCTGCCCCCTCCCTGCGGTCCTCGTCCTGGCTGGGTGTTGCCGTGGGGCACCCCACAGCCCCCCCCCCCCCCCCCCGAGCTCGGGCACATCGCTGACCCCTTTTGCTTCCCTGCTCTTTGCCGCAGAGCCCCGACAAGGAGCCCACGACGGTTTACGCCAGCGTGATGCTGCCCGTGGCCTGAGCTTCTCCGGGCAGCACCCCAGCCTGGCTTCCACCTCTGCTCGCCGGGCACCGCCATCCACATTCCCAGCTGGAGGGAAACCCCGCTCGTCCCTGGGGAACTGGGGGTAAAATCCTCCGGGACATGCCAACCCTCGCCACAGCCAAGCTGGGACTGCAACACCGGCCCACGGAGGGGTGAGGGACGGTGGAGCAAAGAGCAGGGCTGAAGCAAAGCAAGAAATCTCCCCAGGCTGTGGCTAAGGGCGGCCAGGAAGATGCTGCAGCGCCGGGAGAGGGTAGAGGGGCTCTGGATATGACCCCACAGCCGGGCAGGAGCGAAGGAGAGAGAATCAGTGCCTCGGAGGGGAAGGCTCAGCCTATCAGCACCGCGGTGCAGCACCGGCAAGTATGGCCGGAGCAGGTTTGCACCCCAACCTCGTCCCTGCCCCGTGGATTTTTCACCCCATGGCCTCATCCCGTGGCCCGGCTTCGCTAGAGGGAGCCCCCGGCTCGTGGCAGCCGGTGACGCGCAGGGATGTGGGTTCAACGGCAGCGGGGAAAAATCAGAAGTGCGTTGTTTTGGTGTGATTTTGTTTTTGTTTTGTGTGTTTTTTGTTTTGTTTTGTTTTGTTTTTTGTTTTTTTTTTTCTTCACCTCTGCTCCGTGACTGATTACAAAATGCCTGGGTTTGCAGCCCAAGGGGAGAAGAAAATTTTGCAATCCCCTCCGGGCTGAGCCCTGCCCAGCGCCTGCCCAGCCCTGGCTTGACCCCCTGCACCGGGGGCACCGGCAGTTGCGTCCCACTGCACTTTTCCATCCCTGATCCTTTTCCACTGATGACCACGGGAACAGGCGAGGATCTTCCAGGTGGACTATTTCAAGCTGAATTTCTGTCTGAGAGGGGGAGGCAGCCCCTGGCCTCAGCAGCTCCAGACGTCCCTGCAGATGCTGGGGTGCAGGATGCTGGAGGTGGCCTGGATGAGGGACCAAGGCTGTTAAAATCTTTCCAACCCCTCTCAAGCTGAACTATTTTATAATCCCAACATAACTCAGCTCACACAACAGGTCTGATCTCGTGTGCCGCTGCTAAGGGAAAGGAAAATAAATTTATAGTAAAGCCTTTGGGAAAGGGTTGCTGGAGGATTGTGTCAGGGGCTGGATCAGGCTTTGGGGAAGAAGAGAATTGGGTGTTTTTTCACCTCCCTCGCTTCCTTATTTCATTACTATAGAAAATCAGCTGAGCTGCTTCCTTGGAAAAGTCTGCCTGCAAAGCAACCACTTCTCCTCAGGAGCATGGGTGGGTCTGGGAAAGGGCAAGGTCACGCTTGCTTTTGTGCCTCGAAAATGGTGCAAAAGCCCCAAAGTCTGTGCCTGGCACTTGGTGCAGGATGGAACCCGGTGCTACCTGTGTTTGTCCTTGCCGAACGATGGGGCATCCCGTGATGTCCAGTCACCGCAGCCCACGCCCCGAGGTCCACAGGGGGAAGAGTTCAAGTGAAAATGCTAATATTGCCATTGCAAGGAGTATTGAGCTTTGCATGATGCTGCAGAACCCCCCCGGGAGAGGGTCGGAGGAGGCAAAGGGGGGGTTTACGGGGTGGCTCATCTCCCCAGGGTGTCCCTCTGGGCTTCTTCTCACCCCTCTGTTGGGGTGTTGCAAACTAAGAGGTCTTTTTAGGAGTTCAGTGATGTTAGTGCTTTGCTACTGAGCAGCAATGGGGGTTCCTGTGGTGATGTACCCCCTCACCCTTGGGGCAGCACTGGAAGGCAGCAGCCGCCCCTGCTCCCTCACTGGGTAGAGGGACCCAAAGCTTTTTTAAAACCCAACAACCCCAGCTCACCCACTGCACTTCCCCCTCCTGAGTCTCAGTATGACGCCAGCGTCCTGCTACTTCCCAAAATAATCTGAATTAGGGAAGTGGCTGTTTTCCCTGCACTTGTAATTCAGCTGTCCCGTCTAAGGGGGATGGAATCTGGGGGGATGAAGAGTTTGGCTCTCGGCACCCCTTAGGAAGGATGCTCTGGTGACATCGGTCTGTGGGTACCAGTTTGCTCGTGGGTGCTGACCTGGGATGGTCTCCACGCTATCCCTCGCTTAAGGCTGGTTCCCTTGCCACGTGTCGCACGGCCGCGATGATGCTCTTTGTCCCAGCTGCCCCACTTTGCTTGGAAATGGAGTTTTTCCACCCGAGCTTTCATTACATACACGGGATTTTCCTCCTTGTCATACCCCTTCTGGTACCAGGCCCATTGTAGTGACTGGTGTCACTGAGATGGATGAAGTGCAGTTATCTCCACCCATGTAACTGTGGGAGGGAAACTGTGTGGGCGCAGGCGCTTGCATCTTACCCCCTGACAGCACGAGCTGCGGTAGATGTTCGGTGTGGCGAGCTTCTCTGTGCGCTGTGGGTTGATGGATGTGTTTTGGTGCCTGCTGCTCCCCTTCCTCCTCCTCTTCCACCAAGCCAGTAAGTACAAGATGCTCATTTGCCCTCGGTAGTGGAAGGGAAGGGGCCCACGTGGGGTTTGAGTTGGTTTTGGGGGGCTCGTGGGGGACAGGGCTGGCACACGTGGGACCAGCGGTGCCAAGCGTGGCTCCGAGGGGATGGAGTTTGGCCTAAGGGCGTTGGGCAAACCAGGGTGAAAGATGCCCAGCACAGCCTGGTGCCAGCCTCTCATTCTCGTCTGGTCTCCCCCTGCTAACGAGTGAATGTGTCAGGTCTCAGCTCCAGCCCAGTCTCCATCCAGCTGCTGCCAGATGTGTGCTGGCTGCCGCCTTTGCCACTCTGCTCTTCCGTGTTCAGGGTCCGCTCCTCGGTGTGTTGTCTCTGAGTTTTCTGTTGCTCCTGCTGTTTCGTTGTGAGGTATTTGGGGCTGTTTGGAACAGGAGACACTTTCTGCCTCTTTCCAGGCAACGGGCAGAGACGCTTCCCTGCAGCCTCGAGGGGAGTTTTACCACTGGAGGGGAGCCCTCCAGTGTCCTTGTCTGCTTATTTTAGCAGAGTTTCCTTCTTCAAGTTTATCTCCCTGACCAGTTTTCCTTCTAGGATGTCAGAGATGTCTGTTCTCAATGTCCCAGAGGTGTCCCAGCAGTGTCAGGCGAGGGGGAACCAGAAATGCAGAGCCCAGGGGAGAGGTGACAACCTTGGGGTCTGGCTTAGCCAGGACCAGTTCCCTTTTCAGGAACTGGGAAGGTAACCTCCGTTGCCAGCCCAGACTGGAAGCACTGATTTTTAAAATGGGAAATAACCAAAACAAAAGGGAAATGTCTTCCTCCTCAGAAGAAGAAGGGAGAAGCAGCTGCATGGCTGGGGAAGAGGCCACCCGTTTTCTTGCCTGCTCGTGTAGGTGAGCTTGGCCTTTTGGTCTGGTGATGAAAATGAACCTGCCTGGCCTTTCTGAGCCATTGCCACTTGCACTTTCAGTTTGCATCTGGAGGCCCTGTCCCTTGCACGCCCTTTGCACATGGGATGCAGCATGGGTGTCCCGTAGCTACCGGGGAACCTGGTGCCTCTCGCTTCACGAGCCCTTGGGGGATGGAAAAGCCCAGGTGCTCCTGAGGGACCTCAGCCCAGGGCCTCAGGAGCAATTAGCTTCTTTAAAAGAAATAGGAATCCTCTAATTCCTGCAATCACCCTGTGATGGAGCAGTTCCTCACCCAACACTGGTGGTCCCACGTGCACCCTTGTCCCCAGGGGGTTGTGGTGAGCCAGCAATGTGCTCTGGTAGCCCAGAAAACCAGTTACCTCCTGGGGTATACCAAGAGGAATGTGGTCAGCAGATTGAGGGAGGGGATTCTCCCCCTCTGCTCCGCTCTGGGGAGACCCCCCTGCAGTGCTGGGGCCAGCTCGGGGGCCCCCAACAGCAGAAGGACCCGGAGCTGCTCGAGCGGGGCCAGAGGAGGCCACGGAGATGCTGGGGGGGCTGGAGCAGCTCCCCTGGGGGGCCGGGCTGAGAGAGTTGGGGGGGTTCAGCCTGGAGAAGAGAAGGCTCCGGGGAGCCCTTCGAGCGGCCTCCCCATGCTTATAAGAAAGATGGGGACAGACTTTTTAGTAGGGCCTGAAGCGATAGGACAAGGCACAATGTTTTTAATCTGAAAGAGGTCAGATTCAGATTAGATATAAGGAAGAAAATTTTCATGCTGAGGGTGGTGAGCCCCTGGCACAGGTTGCCCAGAGAAGTGGTGGATGCCCCATCCCTGGAGACATTCCGGGTCAGGTTGGATGGGGCTCAGAGCAACGTGGTGTAGTTGAAGATGTCCCTGCTCATGGCAGGGGGGTTGGACTAGATGACCCCCAAAGGCCCCTTCCAACCCGAACCACCCTGTGATTCTGTGACTTTGCTCACATCTGAACAGACGTTCCGGGCGCGATAGCACGGGGGCTCTGGCCCCTGTACATCCCCCTGTCCGTGGCATCGTGCTGTGTGCTCACCGCGGGGTGAGGCTCTTCTTTTTGGCCAAGGACCCTTTCCCGAACCCTCCTGCCTTCTCCACCAGCCAGCCCCCGAGCTCGCTGTGCCTCCTCTTCCTCAGCACGTGGCCTTCAGCCCGGCTTCTCTCCCCAGCGTGCACCGACGACGGGAAAGATGTGACGGGGGCGGTGGGCAGGTCCATCACCTTCGACCTCCAGAGCCTAGATGGAGGAGCTGCGGCCTGGAGCTTTCGCAACGATGTCATAGTGGCTGTGATATTCGGAAATCCTCCTGAAGTCACTTTTTTTGATGACAACTACAAGCCACGCTTGGCCTTCTCCAAGAATGGCAGAGCGCTCACCATCTCCCAGCTGAGGATGGAGGATGCGGGTACCTACACCGCAAAGACCTCGGGGGCAAAAACCACCTTCACCCTACACGTGTACGGTAAGTGCCTTTTAGCGTTGGTGTTTTGTTTTTATTTTTTATGCTTTGTGCTAAATGAGGGGTAGGGGATTTCCTGACAGCCCCCCGTTTCCCCCAGGGGAGCTGGCGGTGCCGACGGTGACCTGCGTGGTGCAGAACTGCTCGGCCGACGGCTGCCGCTACGCCCTGCGCTGCACCGCCTCCGCCCCCGGCTCCGGCAACATCTCCTACGGCTGGAACGTGGGGGGCTCGCCAGGGAACGAGGGGCCCACGGTGCTGGTGAAGGTGTCACCCCGGGACGAGCTGCCGCTCACGTGCACGGCGCAAAACCCCGTCAGCAGCCGCAATGTCACCGTCACCTCGCCCGCTGCCCTCTGCGCAGGTAACCGCCGGGGAAAGGTGCCGGAGTGGGTGGCAGGGATGGGCTGTATCCTGCTCCCAGTGGGTCCAGTTTCCCCCAAGCCATGCCTCGGCGTGCAGAGAGAGAAATGCGGACCCCCGGCTGAGGAATTTACCTCTCTCCCTGGTCTCTCCCCTCGCCGTGCTGCCAGAAAACAAAACCCACCTTCCCGCCGCTGGTGAGGTGCCGAACCGCCCGTCGGTGCCCGGCCTCACTCCTAAGTGTCCAAATGTGCCCAAGCCTGAGGCCAGCGCAGTCTGTCCCCTCCCAAAACAGCTCGTGGGGGGTGTTCAGGGTTTCTGGGCAGTGCCCTTAGCATCCGTGCGCTGTCTTTGTCACCTGGGGGATCTGGGGAGAGGGGGTGTCCCTCCAAAAGTCCCAGCTTGGGCTAGGAGCATTGAATCACTTAATGGAACAGAGATCCGGGGCCAAGGATGGGCTGGAGGTGGGAGCATGGCTCTATGGACTGCTGTTCCCAGCCCATGTGGGGTTTTCCCCCCCAAAAATCTGCCCGTGAGGTCCCTGGAGGGCAAAGGGATGTCAGTGGGGGCAGCCACGGCCGTGGAGGGGCTGGGGTGGGAGTCCCCCCGCTGCTGCTCTGTCTGCAAAGCCACTCATCCTCGTGCAGCATGTCACTTCTTTATCGTGTTGGGCTGTGTTATCGTGAAATAAGGATCCCTACGAAGCCAGGGAGGGGCTTGGCAGGGTGTTGAAGCAGAGATTTCCCCCCCGCTCTGATGCCGGGAAGAGGCAGGTATATTTTGGGGTGTTGTTACTGGACCTTCTTCTCTTTATAGACACCTACTCCAGCAGGCAGACTGGAATTGTGGCCGCACTGGTGACCGCAGCTGGAGTGATTTTAGCAGCGGTTATCTTCGTGATCTACTGTAAATCCAAAGGTGAGCTGCTTCCCCTGGGCGCCACCGTCCCTGCAGACCTGGCGAGCAGGAGATGAGACCTGAGGGGGGGGACACAGAGCTAGCCCCAGTGCCTGGGAAACCGGGGGCTGCAGCAGCCAGAGCTGAAGATGCTGGAGGTGTGTGTGTGTGTGTGTTTGCTTTTGTTGCTGCTGCTGCTGAGAGCCCTGTGTCGCTTCTCCCCCAGGCTGGAGAATCGTTTTGCCTGCAGCCAAGGCGAGGGACACAGGTAGGACTTTGGGGATCCCTCAGGCACTTCTCTCCCTCCCCCTTTTTCCTGGTGGGAATAACCTGGTCGCATATAAGATCAGGGGGAACATCGTCCACCGCTGCGGCTGGGGACCGGAGCGTACCCCGGCTCGTGGGACCCCGATACCTCCCTGCACCCCCACCCTGAACACACGGAGGCAGGTGAAAGGGGCCAACCCCGGGCGATGTCGCGGTGGCTGAAGCCCTGTCACCCCCCAGCCCTTTGCCAGAAGACTTTGTGCCAGCCCACCGAGAAGGAGCCGGAAGAGCAGCAGGAGATCGCCAAAACAAAAGGGATTTTGGGGAAAAGATAAGAGCTGGCAAGAGATGACCTGGAAGGGCGGGGGGGGGGGGAGGGTTGGACAGAGACAAGCAATGAAGGATCATGTGCCCCATGGCCAGAAACTACCTCCCTGCAGCACCGCACGCAGCTTGAGGGACCGCTGCCTGGTTCCCCCGGCTCCTGGGGACAGAGATCGGAGCTCTCGGGAGAAATGGAGCAGCACGAGGGTGGCCACAGGGACTGAAGCACACCCTGGGCATCGCTTCAGGATCAGCCTGATCAGATTCAGGGGTCCAGGGTGCGAGTCCAGCCCCAAAAAAATGGTGGAAGAAGATGCCACTGGACAGCAGTTCCCATCTCCTCTCGCTGATGTTCAGGGCTGTTTCGGGCCGGGCCGTGCCCATCGCTGCTACAACTGAGCCGATGCCCAGCAGAGAGCTCGCCGACTTCTTTTCTTTCTGTGCGTGCTTTGTCGTTTCTGTAAGCTGAAATAAAGCTGACACAACCAGGCGAGTTCCTGCCTCGTGTTTTGCATTTGCGTGCGCCCGCGCGGGATGGCGGGGCGCACCCAGCACCAGGACCACGGGCTCCTCCTGGCCGATCGTTTGGATCCAGCTCTTCATCAGGAACCGTGGGAAAAAAAAAAAACAAAACAAACCTCTCCCCGAAGCGCTCCTCTCCGCACAGGCTGAAGCCTGGTGACTCTGTGGGGCTGACAGCTGTGCTCCAAGTTAGAGGCACTGAAATTTCAACCCAAAAATGGGATTATGAAGGATTTAAATCCTCTCTCCCCCACTCCGTTTGATGAGCCAAGGAATGAGCTGACGCTAACGCTTGCTACAATGGTGGCGACATATGAAGGAGCGAGAAGTGCATACTGCCCTCCAAAAGCAGCTGGGGACCTTGCATTTAAATAAAAAAAAGCTGATTTTCACCAGCAACCCCCTTCGGCGACTGTCCTTTGAGCTGGAAGCAAGAGCCCCATTCCTGCAGCAAGCGGGGGCAGGAGGGAAGGTGGGATGGGAAGCGATGCTCACCTGGACCCAGACCCACAGCAAAGACAACCCCCCCCCCAACCCCCCCCCGCCCCGGCAGCTCCGAGGGCTTTCCCCCAAGCCCAGCACAATTTAAGCCAAGATCCCCTCCAGCCCTTGGCGAGGAACACCCGAGGTGCCCGGGGGGGGGGGGGTGGGGATTCACTGCAGCCCCTCCCTGGCTGCAGCAGGCAGCTCCCTCACTGACCTTCCACTTTTTATTCTCCTGGCAGAGCCCGGACCCGAGTACATGACGGTGTACGCCCAAGTCGGCCCTTCCCAGCAGGTCAGTCCATACAGGCTCATCCCTGCCCTCCAGGTACGGGCTGTGCAGCTGGGGGGGATGCCCGGGACAGGGATGACCTGGGGGACACGTGGCGGGGAAGGGGAGGAAGGCTGGCAGCTGGACAACCCCTGGCTTTGCCTCTTAGTTCCTCCTGGGAGCTTGAAAGGGGGACGTGCCGACGCTGGGGCTGGCCCAAGAGCAGCCGGCACGGCCACAGCCGCCCTCCTGCACTTCCCGGTGCATCACCGGGGGGGTTCCCCGGCCCCACCAGATTTGGCTTCTGTGGCTCACCCGGGCTTTGAGATCCCTTTGCCAGCTCTGAGCCCTGGCAACGCTTTTGAAAACCCTTTTCCCCAGGTGCAGAGTTTCTCTAATGCACAACAGTATGACCCGAAGGAGAGGCCGAGCCCCGGTGTGGAAACCTCCAAAACCATCTATTTAACCGTCCAGGCTGTGGCCCAGGTGAGTTGGTGCTTGTGGCCACCTCCCCCAGAGGGGCTCCAGGACCGAGCAAGGAGATGGGCAAGACCTGGAGCAACAGGCATGGACAGAAAGGCTTCACTGGGCTTTCTTGGGGTCCAAAGCTTCAAGTCAAGCCCGAGGGTCCCCTCTCTCCCTTGCCAAGGGTGGGATCGGCTCCCGCGAGCCCGAGCAGAGCTTTTGTCTCTTTGCCCTTGCAGACAGATGACGAGAAGATGGGCCGGGGCCTGCCAGGGTGCTGGGAGCAGGATGAGAAAAGCCTCTACTCGTCGATCAGCTAGTCAGAGCCCGCGGCGCAGCCCCGGCACGGCTCCGGTGGGCCCGTGAGCCCGCTCTGAGCGCGGTGCCCGTCTCTGCCCGGCCCCGACCCGTGGGGCTGCAGCATCCCCCCCCTTCCCTCCCCATCACTGCTGCCTCCGATTCGCCTGTCGGCACCGGTCCCCGGCCACCAACGTGAGGATGTAAGTGCCCTGTAGGCGCAGGCTCGTCTGGCACAGGAGTTCTGCCCGTGTTTTGGCACCCACGTGGGGCGGGGGGGTCCTTCTTCTGCCCTCTCTGACCAGACCAAGGGACATGGACCAAAACGGGGGCTGCGTGTCCAGCCTTCCCCGTGCAAGGACATGAGCTGATGCTCTTGGGGTTCGCTCTGCAGCGCCTTGCAGTGTGGATCCTCAGGGCGAGAGGACGGGAAGACTTAAGGAGCCTCCTAGAGCCTGTTTTAATTTAATTATTATTTTTCTTTTTTCTCTTTTGCTATACACTTAAACTTGGCAAGTACTTTGGCTGCTTCGCTTGGTTGCTAAACTAAGAGAAAGCAAAAATACCACTTGTGGTAGAAAGCGGAATATGGAAACACGTGTGTCTTCATGCAGGCGTGCACACCCAGGCTGCTGCGATTTCAGTGCTGGCTGCTTCCCAAGCTGTCGCAGCTCCTGGGCTGGCCGGGGACCTTGCAAACCTCACAGCACCCCAGCACCGTGCTCAGCATCCCTTTATGCCACCAGCAAGCTGCGTGCGGTCCCATGAGACGCTGCAGGGCCGTGCTGGGGTCCAAGGGCAGGAGGTGGTCTGGGCTCGGGGGAAAACAGGACGAGGCATGTGGCTGGTGTCATTCTGTTCGGCTCTTTTGATGTGCTTGTATTTGAGGCTTTATTCTAGGATGAAATATTTGTATGTGAAATGTATATGTTGTGTGTTTCTGGAGTTAAGCGGCTTCCCAGCCCGGCTTTAGGGAGGAGAGCAGCTCCCTGAGCGCTGGGCGATGCGGGGTTTCACCCTGAGCTGGGACTTACAGGGCTCTGGGTGCCCAGAGAGCCGGGCACGGGGCACCCCCCACCCTCCCTGCTCCCCAAACCTGCCCAGAGCCGGCAACTGAGCAAAACACTCACGTTGGCATCAATTTTCCGGTGCCGCCGGACAGACAGATGCCACCCGCGCTGGGAAGCTTCTTCCTGCATGTGCCACTTCCCTCTGCTCTTTGTCTTGTCTGTGCTGATAGTAAATTATTCAGGGATGAAACTGGAGATTTCTTTGAAGTGCCTGGCACAGGAGAGCCCTCTAGGAGCTACTGGAATAAAAATGCAAGACACATCAGAGTTCAATTTCTGTCTGCATATTATTTTGGGTGAAAACAGTCCGTTATTGACAAGCCGGTGGCGTAATTTGTTTATTCTCTGCATTCTCACAGTATGTGACAGGCTTGCTTTTGAGTTCCTCAAATTCACGCTGAGCAATTAAAAATATAAACCAAAGCGGGTCATGCATTTTACCAAGGGATTCGTTTGCCATCATATTCGTTCGGCATCAGATCGGTACTTGTAACTCCAAGCCCGGCCTGGACAGGGTTTAAACCAGCGACGATGGCACCGGGGACTGGCCCGACGGGAGCTGGGGCAGTGCGGGAGCATCCCCACCTCCTTGGCCCGCGCCGATGGCTGAGGGGCCTCCACCCCTTAGCCCCGGGGCGCAGCCCCAGAAATGACCCCCTGGGATGGTTTCTGGCCATTAATCACCCTATTTCAGTGCCAACACCTTTGAGCTCACAGGAAGCCGTTGGTCGGGCAGAAAGGGGAAGGAAGGCAATGCAAGAGGGGCAGCAGCGGTGGGAGGTTCGGTGGGCAGAAGGAGGAATGGAGCCGAGAGGCGTCGGGACGGGGTGGCTCTGCGTCGCAGTGCTCTGCTCTGGAGCTGGTGAGTGGGGCTGGGGGGTCCCCTCACCTCTGGGGCTGGAGGGAGAAGGAGGAAGAGGAAGGGGTGGTGTGGAGGCAGCGGGTGCAATGCCACAGTGCTTTCCCAGGGACACTTTGCAGGGCAGGATGCTCGCCCAGCCGTTTCATGGCGCGGGGAGATGGGGGGGGGCGAGGCTCAGGCCGCCTGCTTTATGGCTTGGCTCGGGTCTGGCTCGTGCCTGGGGGAGGTTTGGGGTTTCCTGGGCTCTCCCAGCGCCGGGCTGCATCACAAACCCACGCCCTGGGCTCCCTCAGTCCTGCCCAGCCCTTCGCAGGGATGCTCGCTGACTGCCCGGCCCTGTCCGCGGCCGGGAGCGGAACGCCGGGGTGCTGCTTTGCCCGGGCACCCCGTTTCACCGCCGCAGAGCCCCCACCCGCCCTGGCACCGCTGCTGGTTGCCCAACCTCCAGCGTGACGCTGGCCGGCAGCGTGGGAGGCCCACGTGTGACTTCCCACACGCCCTCGGCTCCGTCTCCCCCGGCATCCACCGCGGCGCTGCTGCCGTTACCACCTTTTCGTTAGCAGGGGGGTTGTCTCGGCCGAGCCGTGCAGGAGAGCGGTGTAAGCCCGGCTGGAGGGATGTGGGTTAACCATTTGCTTTTCCCTAAACCACAGTGCTGCGGTGCAGGACCACGGTGGGGCTGGTGCAGCACCCCAACTCCGTTCCTTGATCCTTGCGGGGGTGGGGGGGGGCGGCCGGTTCTGGTTTGGGGAGGCCTTGACAGGAATTACTGACCCTCCTTCCCAGCTCTCGTCCTCAAAGAAAAGGAGCCAGGGCACCAAAGCACCACGCAGCGTGATGATGTCCTGGAGCCAAGGGGAGACCCTGCCACAACCACCGAGAGCGTGGACAAGCTGACGACGTGGCCAACGGCCACCCCAACCCCAACGTGGACCGGGGGCCCCGGCACCACCCCCGTGCTGACACGAGCAGGCGCCGCGGGGAACAAAACCCGTGAGTCCCACGAAGAAAGGAAAAGATGTAGTTTGGGGATGTGCCACCACCCTTGGGGGGGGGGGTGGTCCTGCATCCCCCTGGAGACCCCCCAATACTTGCCAGCCCCCCACCCCCCCCCCAGCCACCTCTGCGGGCAGCATGCCCACCTCTCCTCTCTCTCCCCGCAGAAAATGCGGCGGCTGTTCCCGTCAGGTACTGGTCGCCAGTTATTTTTGTGGTGGTTGCTCTGCTCGTGCTCTTCTTCACATACCGGAGGACCAAGGGGGAAGGTGAGATCCCCACCGGGGCACCAGCATCTCCCGCCTTCGCTCAGCTGTGTGCTGGGTGAGCAGGAAAGGGTGACAGCCATCTCACAGCCCACATCCTCAAAAGCCTCGAGAAGTGCCGCAAAAAGTCAGTTATTCTGGTACAGCTCGATGAAGGGGGGGGGCTGGGGAGGGGGGGGGGGGGGTGTCTGGCTTCGCGCTGGAGTGGGAGGGGGCAGGATCAGGCCCTCACATCACCCAGAAACCTCCTCGGCCACAGCTTAGCCCCACGGGGAGCGCTCCCCCTTGCTCAGAGCTTTAAAAGTCCAGAAGTTTAACCCATAACGCCCTTTTCTGCTCTATTTTACGCCTCTCAGTCCCAGCTCTGCCCTTTCCCCCCCTCCCCGAGGCAGGGACTTTTTTTCTGCTTTATCACAACCCTCAGGCTCGAGGCTTTTTCCTCCTGCAAATCCAAACGGAAAGCTCGTCAGCTCATCCCCCACCGCTCCCCTTTTCCCAGGAGGGTCTTGCGGGGCTTTTTGCAAAGCCCGTTTCACGGTTGTAACGCTTGTGTCTCCCCTGGCCCGCAGGGACCCGGGACCGAGCCGCCTCGGCCAGTGACTCTTCAGGTGAGACGTGGTCAGCCCGAGCCCGGGGGGGGGGGGGCGAGGGGCAGCTGGTTTGGCCACCGGTTGACCCCGTCTCAGGGCCGTGATTCACATCCCAGCTCGTTGCGTTGCAGATTTAGGAGCCCTGGTCCACCTCCCCACCCACGACACCGCTCCGATAATCCCCGCGCCCCAGGTGAGCCCGGCTCGGGGGGGGGATCCTCTCGCCCGCAACGCGTGAACTGGGAGGGCTGGGAGCTGCTTGCCGGCCCCTGCCCGGGTCTGGGCAAACCCCCCAGCCCCGTGCCTCAGTTTCCCTAATCCACCACAGCCAGGGGGTGATGAGGGTGCTCAGTGCAGCGCCACAAACAGCCGCTGCCTCTTGCAGGGGCAGAGGAAGGGGTCGGCGAACCCCCCAACCTTGGAGCACACCGAAACCATCATCTGCGAGCCGGACCCCCCGCCTCCCCAGGTATTTCACCCCAATGCACTGAGCCCCAGTGCCCGGGGGGTGTGGGGGTGTGTGGGGGCTGCCAGCTGAGCCCCAGCCCCTCCAGCCCACGCAGGTCTCTGCGGAGGGTTTGTAGTCTGCCCCCCCCCCCCCAGCATTTAATTTTGTTTCTCCCCAGCCTGATACCCCCACAACCGCCGCTGGTCCCCGCTGCTCCGCGGAGCCCGGTGCTGAGTGAGGGTTCCCGGGGGGACCCCAGACGCTTCCAGACCCCCCCAGGGAGCACGTAGGCCACCCCCGAGGGCCAGAAATGGGACGATGCTCCCGGCTGGGGAACGCGAGCAGCGCGTGTCACCTCGGCCCTTCCTCTGGCTGCTCGAGCGGGCACCCAAACCCCAGCGGGAATGGGGACCCCCGTGGGACAGGGACCCCCGTGGGATGCGGCCGTGCGTGGGCTGTTAGTGCTGTGCCCCAGGTGTAAGGACTGGGGGAGGAGGGGGGGTGGGGGGGGTCAAGGCACCTGCGCTGGGCACAACCAAGCCAATAAAACAGGATTGCACCCCAAAACTGCCAGACTTTCTCTGGGGGGGGGGGACCGGCAGCCTCCCCTACGCCCGGCCCAGCCGTCACTTTCCAACCCCCCCGTCCCCCTCCCCGTGTCGTGGAATTGAGTGGGGGCGGCTGGCAGGCAGCCCACGCCGTGGGGGCTGGGGGAAGGAGGCTCTTGTGCTGCTCGATTACTCACCGAGGGGAAAAAAAAAAATAAGCAACACATGGAACTGAAATAATCTGCTCCCCCGCCCCGCTCCCCCCCAGGAGCCAGCGGCTCATCAGATGACTGTTGAACTCATCACAAAGATGTGGCGAGGGGCTGGGGATAAACACCCCGGCGAGAAGCAAGAGTGTGCGGGGGGGGGGGGGGGGGCTGAGCTGCAGCATGGCTTGGCAGGGGGGCCAGAAGCCCCCCCCCCCCCCCCCCCCCCAAACTCCCTCCTCTCCCCGCTGCTGGGGACAGCGCTGCAGGTGCAGTGCCCTGCCTCAGTTTCCTCTCGCTCTGCTCCCCCCACATCCTCCTGCGAGGTGTGCGAAGCGGGGCACAGCGTGGGGAGGGGGGGGTACCAGGGAAGGGGGTGGGGGGGAGGGAGGAGAAAAGGTGCAAAAGCCAAAGGAAACGCTGACGCTGGGGCCCAGTGAATCAGTGCTGCTGTTGCTGCAGGGGGCCCCCCCCCCCCTCCACAAGCTGGGGAGCAGGTGGGTGCTGGGGGGGGTGTGGGGGGGGTGCAGGTGCTGACACATCTGCTGTGGCAGCGAGGGGACCGCAGGCAGCATCCTGGGGGGGGGTGGGGGGGAGGAGGGGGACAGGCAGGGGCTCTGCAGCCCCCCTTTCCCCCCCTCCCCCCTGGAGCTGGGCATGGGGGGGGGACTCGCTCCATCCCCCAGCAAAGGGATTGGGACTTGCCCCCACCCTGGGGAGGGTTTGGGCATTTCTCCGGTTTGCGTGGAGGGCAGCCCAAGCCCTTCACCCCCATAAACCCCAAATCTCTTGGTCCCCCAAATCCTCGGCCCTATAAACCCCAACCCCCTGACCTCACAGATCCAACCCCCTTGGCCCCATAAAGCCCAAATCCTTGGCCCTATAAACCCCAACCCCCTGACCTCACAGATCCAACCCCCTTGGCCCCATAAAGCCCAAATCCTTGGCCCTATAACCCCCCAAATTCTTTGTGCCATAGACCCCAAATCCTTGGCCCCCATAAACTCCAAGCCCTCGGCCCTATAAACCCCACAACCTTGGTCCCACCCATCACAGTCCCTTGGCCCCATTAGATTCCAAGCTGTTTGTCCCATAAATCCCAAATCCTTGGCCTCACAGTGCCCAGACTCTCGGCCCCATAGACACTAAACCCTTTGTCCCATAGACTCCAAATCCTTGGTCCTCTAGACCCCAGATACTCAGCCCCTCAAACCTCAAGCCCTTGGCCCTCTAGACCTCAAACTCTTGGCCCCATAGATCCCAAATCCTTGGCCCCATGGACTTCAAGCTCTTTGCACCATAGATTCCAAATCCTTGGCCCCTCATCCCTCAAATCCTTGGCTCCTCAAACCCCAAACCCTTGTTCCCTCAAACCCTAAGCCTCTGGCCCTCTAGACCCCAAACTCTTGGCCCCTCAACCCTCAAATCCTTGGCTCCTCAAACCCCAAATCCTTGGCTCCTCAAACCCCAAATCAACCCTTGTTCCTTCAAAGCCCAAGCCCTTGTTCTCTCAAACCCTAAGGCCTTGGCCCTCTAGACCCCAAACTCTTTGCCCCATAGACCCAAAATTCTTGGGCCCATAAACAACAAATCCTTGGTCTTCTAGACCCCAAACCCTCAGCCCCTCAAACCCCAAGTCCTTGGCCCTCTAGACCCCAAACTCTTGGCCCCACAGACCCCAAACCTTTGGCCCCCATAAACTCCAAACCCTTGGACCTCTAATCCCCAAATCCTTGGTTCCCATAAACTCCAAGCTCTTGGTCCCCTAAACCCCAAGCCCTTGGCCCCACAGACCCTAAATCCATGGCCCCCCCCAACCCCAAGCCCTCATCCTGCATCAAGCACCCTCCAAGGGCAGGACGAGTTTCTCTCCGAGTGCTCCCTTGAGGCCACATCCTGCCACTGCAGCACCTCCTAAAACTGCTGCCTCACCCCAAAGCAGAGGGTGCTGGAAGACAAAGGGTGAAAAAAAAAAAAAAAAAAAAAGTCAAAATGGGTTTATTTTATAAAAAAAAAAAAATTTGTACAATTTTAGTTCCTCTATGAAAAAAAAAAAACAACCAAAACAAACCAGCCAACAAAACTTTCTACCACTGCCGTAATGCTTCGATCCACTGCAAACTGTAAAAACAAGCTTTTTATATATTAAAAAACAATTTTACACTTTACAATTTTCTACACACATGCACAAGGTCTCGGCTCTGCTTAGGAAAAAAAAACCAAAAAACAAAAACAACAAAGCAAAACCAAAACAGAACCAAAAATGAACGAAAAAGGGTTTATTCTTCTTAAACTCCAAGTGAAAAATCCCCCCTCCCCGGCCGACCCATCCACTCGCACTCACTGAAGTCTTTTTTGCAGTAAAACACCCCAAAATGGGCTCCCAGTGGCAGCAGCACTGATAGAGTGAGGGGGACCAGGGGGGTGAAACCTGGGTCCTTCGGCCTCGAGAGGCTGGAAGATGAGGGGGAGTGGCAGAGAGGGGTGAGAAACTCCCCCAAAATTACAATTTCCTGGAAATTGGGAAATCCAGCCCCGAGTAGCGCAGTGCTGGATGGGGATGGACCCCCAGGACCCCTCCAGCACCTTAATGTTGTTACTGGTGCTAACTGGGGAAGCCCCCAACCCCTCTGGGGTGACACACATGACCAGTGTGCCACGGCCCAAGCGTTGCCCCCCCCCCCCCGAACTCACACCCTTTTAGTGCTTAGGACAAAATAAATCAAATAAATCAGAATCAAATCCAACCGCACGCCTCCCCGGGATGAAATCTGGCAGCTCCCACGGCCAAACCAGCCCCCGCCCTGCCCAGCCACAACCCCCCCGGGACCCCACGAGACCCCCGACCCGACACAGTGTGGCCAGACAACAGGATCCAGAGGGGAAAAAGGAAAAATTAAAATAAATCCATGAGGTATTTGCGACCTTAACAAATACAAGGGAAGGCAAAACGCTTTCGCGTCCCCCGTGGCGAGGAGGCTGCTGCTCGTGGGATCGCCACGGGCCACCTGCCACCACGGGACATTAATTAAGGACCTCACTGAGCCACGAGCCCTCATCACCCTCACCAGGAACCCCTCGTTTCACTCACCCCACCGGCTCCAGGTCCAGGATTGGACCCTGAGGGACATTTTAAGCTGCTCTGCCTGCAACCTGCGGCCACAGCTCCAACCGGCATGGGGAAGCCCCATGGAGATGCTGCTGGGACCAAGGACATGGGTCACCTCAGGAGCAAGGAAACCACTTAAAAAAAAAAAAAAAAAAATCCTTCTGCTTCTCGTAAAAAACAGATTTTCATTTGCTTTTGTGAAGAGCTGAGCGCGGTAGACCATCAGCAGAGAGGCGAGGAGGATGTTCCTACAGCCGGGAGCATCGCCGCTCCGGTGTCTTGGACGCTGGGGGAGGTTTTCATAGCAGCCACTGATTGCGGAGGTGTTTGCAAAATACTCCCCTCCCCAAAATCTCTAGGATTAAAAACCAGCCCCAGACGGTGGGCGGTGGTTTAAGGTCAGAGCCGGGCCAGTTGCCAGGTAGAAAAAGGGGCAAGAGCAGAAGGTCCTTGGGACCTGATGGTGCTTGAAGACGCTGGTGAAGAACACGTAGAGTTAGCCCTTGAGTTATGGCACCGAAACGCCGTCTCCTTCCTGGCCATGCCACTGTCCTCCGCCGGCTGCGCCTTCTGGGGGGACGCTACAAGGACCTGGGTTTCAGGGGAGGAGGAGGAGGAGGAGGAAGAGGAGGAGGAGGAAGGGGCTCAGCCCACCCCAACGCGGGCCAAGCTGAGGCGGAGGGCGAGTGGTCACAGGTAGGTGATGGAGCCGGGCCTGGGTGCTGCTTCCCGGCGCCCGCCGCAGTTCTGCCCTCGAGCCGTGGCCTCCCTGAACCCCGGCGGAGATGGGGAGGACGAGACGGAGGGGTGCGGAGAGGGTCTTCCCCCCCCCCCCCCCCCCCGACCCCTCTCCATCCCTCTTCAGCTCACACGGAGGTCTCCGACTGCAGCCTCATGACGAACTTGTGCGACTTGGGGTCCACAAACTCCTCCGAGAGCTTGAAGAAAGGGATCTTCTTGGTGCTCACCACGAGGCTGAAGTCCTGGCGCTTCAGCACGAAGACCACCCCATCTTTCAGGCCGTTCGTCACCGGCTCCTCGCTGACCAGCGTCCACTGCTTGGCCAGCCAGCGGTCCTTGTGGTACTGGATGGTGGGCCCGGCCGTCAGGTACCGCTCAAGAAACGCCTTGGAGGAGGGAAAGGACATGTGAAAGTCACCTTCCTAGACCTCAGCCCATTTTTTTTTTGTTTTTTTTTTTTGCAGCCTCAAGCTGCTCGGCAGGTCCTGCAGGAAAAACATCCCCTGCGCGTTGCTCCCTCGGGGTTACACCCACCTTCCTGGCTGGAGCCCCCCCCAACCCTTTGTCCTCCCAGTGGGATGCTCTCACGTGGTGGAGGGGAAAAAAAAAAAAAAAAAAACCACACCCAGCTCTGGACCAAACCCGTGGGCAAACTGGTGGACCTCCCCCTCCGCCCCCCAGCACACCTTGGGCGTCATGTCGTGGGTGATGCAGAACTCGAGGTGCTGCAGGATGCTCTCCATGGTGTGGTAGGGCTGCTGCTTGGTGGTGCGCAGGTATTTCTGCATGGCCCGGGCCATGGAGGCGAAGATGGCTTGAGCTGCCTCCCGTGGGTCCATGATCTCCCGTGGGTTCTTCTGGTCCTCCTCCTGCAGCCGCTTGATGTGGGTGAAGGCTTCTTCCACCGCCACCACCAGCCTGCCGGGAGGAAAATCATGGATGTGGCTGGAGCAGGGCAGAGTCTGGCCAAGAGAGGGAGATCCCCTGGGCTTGGGGGGTGGGGGTGGGAGAGCCACTCACTACCCACCTACCTATGGATGGCCAGAACCCAGCTTCCCACCCCAAAAGAGTTTTGGGGGAGATCTGGCCGCGCCACGCAACAGCCGCGCTTGGGATGCGCTTCCCCAAGAGCGGGGACACCTCGTCTTGGGGGGCTGGAGGTGACACCCCCCACCCCCCCCCCCCGGGGGTCAGCACAGCCCGGGTCCTCACGGGGGTCCTGGGATGGGCACCCCATGGGACAACACAGCAGTGGGGCACCCAGGGCCACCCGGAGCTCGGTCCCCGCCGCCGGCCCCGTACCTGGCGCGGCGTTTCCGCACCCTGCGCTCGTGCTCTGCCTCCTCGTAGTAATACTCGTTGTGGCTGTTGTCGCGTCTCCGGGCAGCCGCCGCGATGACGGCCCGGGACTGGCCCGTGGAATTGTTCGTCGTGTTTTCTGCGGGGGAAAAGGATGAGGTAAGACAGGGGTTGGAAGGGCTGCAGGGTGCCCGATGCTCCCCCTGTCCCAACGGCCGGGCTGTGATCCCGCTCCGGGCTCTCCGGAGCTGAGAGGAAAACACAGGGATGGGGAAGGGAAGGGGGAGAGAGAACAAGAGGAGAAGCCAAGGGAAGGGGAGCTCACCCTCGCCGAGGGAATAGACTTTAAACCCGGACATTTTCTTGGACAGGACGGATTTTGGCAGGTTGAGGAGGGCGGGGTTGTAGACCGGGAAATCGTGGTAATAGTTCTCCAGGATCCACACGGCTGCTCGCTGGATGCTGCAAGGAAACAGCCGGGCACGGGGGGGTGTGTGTGGGGGGCACGGGGAGCTGGTCAGCACCGTGCCGAGGGTCCCGGGTTGGTGGTGGTGGCGGGGGGGGCACACAGCCAGGGCGGGATGAGGAGGGAAGGTCGCCCGCACCCACTCGTGAATACAGGCGTGCACCTCCGCCCGCACGAACACCCACGCATCGGTGCGCACACCTCCGCACGGGAACGCACGACACCCCCCCCCCCCCCCAGCCTCAAGAACCCACGCACACCAAGGGTGAACAACGCCAAAGGGGGGGACCCCCCCCCCCCCATACCTGAGGTGGCCGACGTTGTAGAAGCGGCTGGCCCCGTCGGCGGAGCGCACGGCCTTGAGGGTGAACTGGGGCTGGAGCTGCCGCAGCTCCAGCAGCACCACGGCCAAGTAGTGCACGAAGAGCAGCGCGTCCACCAGCGAGACGGCGTACTGCACCACCCCCTGGTAGTTGCGGTCCCGCGAATCCAGGATCCGCACGCCGTAGAAAAGCCAGTAGGAAACGACGAGGAGGAAGACGAGCACCATGAGCAACGCTCGGAAGACGAAGACGCGAGGGAAGAAGGCTTTGGGGCGACGGAAGAAAAGAGCCCAGCTGCCCAGCAGGAGGATGAGGAGTTTGAAGGCCACGGAGATGAAGAGCCCCTCGCAGGGTGTCCCGCAGGGCTCCAGCTCCTCCCGCCACAGCAGCTGGGGCAGGAGCATGAAGGCGAGGGGGGTGAGGAAGGCAAGCAGCGCCAGCGCCCCGGCCAGCGAGACGCCCAGGTGCCGGGAGCAGTCCAGGTGGGCGCTGTCCTCCATGTCCTTGGTGATGCGGGTGATGTCATCGTGCGAGATGCTGTGCTCCGACGTCCCCGTCACCACCGTGGTGGTCTCGCCCCAGTTGTCATCCTGGGGGAGAGCCGATGATGGGAGGGTTACGCCGGGGAGGGTTCCGTCTCCCCCCCAACCCCAGCACCCCCGGGGGGGCTGCCCACCCCAACTCCAGCGTGTCCCGTCCCCCAAACCTCAAAGCCCGGCGCGCTGCCCGGCACCATCACCCCCATTTTGACCGCGGAAACCTCAGCCTGGGGTTGGGCAGCGATTTGGCCGGGACCCTCTCGGAAACCCTCGGCGGCGGCTCCGTGCCGCGCTTCCACCTCTCCGGCACCGGCGAGAGGAGCTTTGGAAGTGGGAAGCATCCTGCTTCCAGGCAAACCCCCTCATTAGCGGGGCCAGAAGGAACATGCCCGGCTGCCGTCCCAACACACCCTCGCCGCCGCCTCCCCCCAGCACCGCGCCGGGCAGGATTAAATCGCCGGCCATCCGGCAGCTGAAGAACACCGGACGGGTCTCCCATGGCCTCCAAAAACCCCGCTCCCTCCAGCCAGGGGGGGTGCAGAAACGACCCGTCCCCGTTTGATTCCTTCCCAGCTAAAACGTGGGGGTTTCAAGGGAGGGAGACGTTGCGCCGCAGGCGCTGAGAACACCGCCCCGGCGCAGCCACGGGTCTGTCCATCTGTCCGTCCTCTCGCTCAAGACTTTCGCGTTCTGTTTTACAGCACTTCAGCACCCCTGAAACTTGGGGTTTTATCACATCGCATTTTTCTCCCCACCACCCCCCCCGCCTCCCCGCCCTGGATTTCTGCGGGAAAGTCAGTGATTTCATTCCAAACAGCAAAATAAAGCCGCAGCCTGGGGCTTTCTGGAGGGGTGGGAAGCAGAGGAGGGTCTGGGAGGATGAGCCCATATCCCAGCCCGTCCCCAGGTGAACCCACGCTGCCATCAGCTCGCTCCAGCCACAGCTGGACCGGGCGGGCTCAGCCGCCGGCATCCCGGCCGCCGCGAAGCCCGGCCTCTCCTGGCGCCCGATTGCTTGGTGGGGGGAAGATGAAAAGAGCTGGAGCCGCCTGCGTAGGTGGCTGGGAGATGATTAAAGCCAGGGAACGGGCTCCACGGCAGCCGGAGGGGTTGCGGCACCCAGCGTGGGGGGGCACGGCAGAGCCGCCCCCGCTTGCCACTCGTGCCGTGGGACCACGGGGGGGGGGGGCCGGTGGAGGGATGCAGCACGGGGGGCTTCCTCCACACCAACCCGCCCGCCGGTGCGATCTTGCTGGCAGCCGGGGTTATTAACACTCCGGCACGGCCGAGCCGGCATCGCCCGCAGGCGCCGAGCGAGGAGCTGGAGCTAATCCCTAGGGAGTGGATCCCCAGGGAGCGGATCCCTAGGGAGCGGATCCCCAGGGTGTTTTCCACCTTGGGCAGCCCTTGCCCACCCCGGCTGCTTCGCCCCCCGCCGGGGGCGCCGCGACAGCCGGTCCCTTTTTTTTTTTTTTTGTTTTTTTTTCATTTGCACCCGCGCCCGCCTTCCCCGCCGGCGCCGCCGTCCGCCAGCCAAAGGGCCAGCCCAACCGGCTCAACCGGAGCACCAGGCGTGCCGGGAGCCCCCGCGCCCCGCCGGCGGCTCCCACCCTCGGCCGCAGCCCCGCGCCGGGGCAGAGATGCCAACCCTATACCTCCCCCCCCCCCCCCCGCCCCCCAACCCCAAACCCCAAGCCCAACTCACCCTCTCGTCCCCCCGGGTGGACTCATTGTCCAACAAGGGCTCGCCCGGCGCTTGGATGGTCACCGACTTGTCCCCCCGGCTCCCGTCCCGGCTTTTGGAGCGGTGGCGGTCCCGCCGGTCCCTGGAAGGCAAGAGGGTGACACCGGGGTGGGTGCGCTGGGCTGGCAGCACCCATTAAAGGCCAGGGGATCCCCCCCCCCGAGCTCACTGACCCCTCACCTGTGCTTGCGGGAGCTGCGGGAATGCCCGGACTTGTAGGAATATCCCGAGTACTGCGACTCATTGTCCATGGTGTCGGAGCGCCGGGGCTTGTGCCGCTCCACGCCGAAGGGCTTGGGTCTCCCCGGCCCCGGGACAGCGGCCAGGGCCTCCTTCAGAGGGGGCTTCTTCAGGCCCAGGGGCACCTTCAAGAAGTCGACTGTCACCTTGAGGGACTCTATTTTGATCACCTGGTTGGGCTCGTTTCAGGAGAAAACGGTTCGCCTGCCTGCGGAGGCGAAGGGAAGGGTCAGGGGCGGCGCGGCGGCGTCCCGGCGATCGCCCGGCGGGGTCCCGGCTGCTGGTGAACATCCCCTCGCCCACCACCCACCCCGTCCCTGCACCACCACAGCTCCGGCCCCAGTGGCAAACGGGGACGGGACTTCAGCAGGGAAAGGGAATTTTGGGTCACTTTGGGGCATTTTCTATTTTATCCCATGCCCAAGCTGGGTCCGGGATGGCCACCTTTCCCTTTATTAATGATTCTGCACGATTAGCTTCTGTTTCGGGTGTTTTACACTTTAATTAATATCACGATCGTTATTTTAGCTGCCAAGAGAGTGCCTAGGGTGGGGGCCAAAAGGAAAAAAAAATAAAAAAAAATGGAATGAATAATTGGGTGCAGGCAACGTTTCAGGCCCATCTCGCAGCACGGGGCTCTGCCTGGACACGTTTCCCAGCAGGGAGCCGGGATCTCACCCGCAGGAGTCCCGGTTGCTCGAGGAACGTCGCTTCCCCGGCTGCCGGGAGCCACCTCGGGTGGGACCACTGGCCCGGGCCACCCCGGCGGCGTCCGGGCCACCGCTCCACCACCTCAAGGCTGGCTCGGAGCAGACCCCGTCACCCCCGTGAGCTGACTCACGGCTGCCAGGTCGTTATTAGCCAACCCCAAACTCCCATTACAGCCATCTGTAGGTGCACACGTATATAAATATATACACACGCGCACATGATAGCCACCTACGCCTGCTTATGGTGCCGGGTCTCTGCTGGGTTGGGAAAATAACACCTTGCTTAGCTCCCAGCCAGGCACCGGCTCCTCGGGCAACGGCTCGGGGATGTGGGCAGGAGGTTGGTGGTCTCCCAGGGTCCCCGGTGACCCCGCTGGTTTTGGGGAGTCCCAAGCTGCTCGCAGCCCTGATGGGGGGGTTCAGTGTTACCTCGCCCGGATCCCACTGGGAAAGGGGACCCAGACACAGATGGGAGCCACCGGTGACATCTCCCCGTGCTGGGGGATGCTGGAATCCGTTGGAGGGGTCCTGCCAAATTCTCCTGCCCTCACCCTAAGGGTGCTGGGGGGCAGCAGGCATTAGGCACCCCCCAGAGCCCCAAACCTCCCCCCCCCTCCTTCCCAGCCAGCACCCCATGCCGGGGGGGCCGCGCCGGCTGTGTTTGGGGGGTGGGCCCGTGCTGGGTTACCACGGAAATACCATTTCAACCAAATAAAACCCAAACGTCTTTTGGCCTCTTTTCCAAGGCCTCAAAGAGGGGGAGATGGGGTCGAGGAGGCAAAAGAGGGCGGGGGGGGGGGATCCTTTTGTCCCAGATGCTGGATGCTCACACATTTATCACTATGGAAACAAAAGCGCAACACCCCCCCCCTGCCCCCCCCTCCCTCCCCACGCCGGTTGTCTAGGAGATGGCAACAGGGCCGGGAACTCGTCCCGGCATCCCCAGCGAGCGATGGGGGAAGGGGCTGGGAGAGAAAGGACCCCCCTGTGCCCCCAACCTCCTGCCAGCCCCCCTTCTTCTGGGCTTTGTTTGCAGGCAGGGATCGGGTTTCTGCTGGGAACAATGCCGGGGCCTCGGCCATCGGCGCAGGGGGGGCCCGGACTGGTTTGTCCCCCGTCCATTGACACCACGAGGGGGGTTAAGAGCGGGGCAGGGGGATGGACCCGGGGGGACTCACCGGCGGGGAGGTGGGGGTGAAGCGGGTGCAGGCGGGTGCTGTCCCCCGTCCTGGTGGTCACCGAGGCACTCGGGGCATCCTGAGCCTCCGGCGGGGATGGCATCCAGCTGGCGGGGGCTAAAGTGGGGGGGGGGCTGCGCATGGAGTAGGGGCTGGGGGTGGTGGTGGGGGGAAGCCACTCACAGGACGGGCGGCCGTGCCGGGGGGCCGCGGTCGAGCTGGAAGAAACGAGAAAGCAGTGAGGAACCAGGCATCCCCCCCCCCCCCCCCCGCGGGATGACGCAGCCACGTGTGCGGGGGAGAAGCCGCGAGGCGGCACCCCGGGGCACCCCCAGGCGAAGTCCATGTCCTGCAGGTCACCCCCCCCCCCCCCCCCCCAAACCCCGAGAGCTCCTCGCTTGACCTTGACCCCCGGCGAGCGCCTGAGAAGAACGACGGGGAGGGAAACTGGGCACCCCCCCTCCAGCAATCGCATCCTCACTGCATCAGCACCCTGCCCCGTACCTCAGCACTGGATGTGGCCCTCCCCGAGGCGTCCAGAGCCAGGCTGAGCACCGCTCCCCCCCTGTTCCCGCGCCCCCCCCCGCCAGCCAGAGCCAGGGGAGGCGAAGCTGATTTATCAACCAAAATCAAGGTGGGGTTTTCCAACGCATCTCGGCGATTCAAGGCACCACCGGCCCGCGGATTGACTGCTCCTCGGCCACCACAATCCCGCGGCCAGCAGCCACGCTTCAAGGCCACCCCCCCCCCCCCCCGAGTCAGGGGTCCCCCCACGGTGGCGTGGGGAGCTCAAGGCTGTCCAGGTCCCAGAGGCAAAAACCAGAGCTGAAGGTTGATCTGTTCAGAGGGAGAACAAGGCGGGCACTGGGATCTCACGCTGACGAAGGAGCAGAGGTCACGGGCAGAGGCTTTGGGGCCCTTTCCCAGGGCAGAGCCGCGGCGCGGGACGGTTTGCTCCGGCACGATCCATGACTGAACCACGGGCGACCTCCACATCCAGACCGACGAGGACCCTCCGTCTTGCCAGGAACAAAACAGCCGAATTTTCTCCCCGGCAAAGGCTGGCGGGGGGGAATAACACCCCCCCCCCCCCCCAACCCAGCGAGGTTAATTTGTAAATCAAACAGCCATCCCCACAGGTCGCTGGAACCCGGAGCTCCTCGTCCTCCTGTCCTGCCGACACTTGGGTGCTGGTGGAGCAACTTGGCCGCTCCGGCGGGGAAGAAAGGGATTTTTTTTTTTTTTTTTTTTTTTTGATGGTTTGCCCGGCAGAGTGAGGAAAGCCGGTTCGGCAGCACGAGGTGCTCGGGTGGAGAGGCTGGCAATGGATGCCTCGTCTCCAGGAGAAGCAGCTTCGCCTTACCGAGCCCGTAGAGACGCAGAGCAACCGCCGAGGGCTGGGAGCCAGAGCCAGACGCATGCAAACGAGGAGGAAAACTCTCATTTTTAATAGCGAGGTGATTAACCATCAGAACAAACTCCCCAGGGGAGGTGAGGATTTGCCATCTCTTGACATCTTCAAGTCCAGACTGGATGGCTTCTCGGGATGATGCTGGAGCACATCACAGGGTTCAAAGCAGAGAGAGATCGGCTGGGGCTTCGGGGCGGTCAGAAAAGCCACTGCCGCCGTCTCTCCTGCCTTTGAGTCCGAGAACCTCAAACATGAACTATCTTTTGCATTCAAATGCTCAAAAAAAAAAAAAAAAAAAAAATAATCCAAGCGTTTCTAGATGAGAAAGCTTTCTTATTTCAAACAGCTCCAGGGGAAATCCCAAGAGGGAAATCCTCTCCTCCTGGCCCCAGCCAGGCAGCATGCCCCTCGGACCGGGCAGCACAAACCCACGCCGTGTTTCTCTCGCCCTGCTTTATTCAGCATTGAGACCTCACGAGAGAGGGGCACGACGTTTGCTGGAGAAAAACCCACTTTGAGCGAAGGGAAGAGGGAGAAATCGGCGGCTGAACCACTTCTGTGCTGGCCAGGAGGGTTGGGACAGGCCCGGCTGCCTTCGCACTGGAGCGGAGCGGCGAGAGTCCAGCCGTTCCCGTGCCAGAGCTCAGCGATTTACGCCACTGGTGCTTTTTTTTTTTTTTTTTTTTCCAGCATCTGCAAATCTAGATCAATTAAATAAATACCAGCGTTCAGTCAGGATGCTCGAAGGTGGTGACGAGAGGGGTGTGAACGCAGCCCTTCGCACACTGGTGATAGCTGGCTTCTTCAGTGCCGGGGCCAAACAGGAGCGGGAGGAACCATCAGCCACATCTGGGCAGGTGTTTCCCTGCTAGACCCAACAAGCATCGTGGCGACGGGGAAACTGAGTCACAGAGCGGGCCGGGAAGACCCTGGGGTCCTGGATTCCCAGCACATGACTCCACCACTGTTGATCCTCCCAGTAAGCCTGGGAGGGCTGGAAGCCCAGCTCCGCCCTTGACAGAGATGGGGAAACTGAGGCACGCCGCAAGCCGGAGTCCGTAGCTGTTTATGGTCAGGCAGAAACCCCAACGCGAGCCTCAGCCCTGCCTCACACCGTAATTTTGGGGCTGTCCTCCCTCACCGTGCCGACACCGGGGTGGTTGGTTGGCCCGGGGGTCCCTGAGCGGTGATGCCCGCGGTGGGGATGCCGCCGGCACGCCTCCAGAGCCGGCCTGGGACCCGGGGGCACCTCCCGGCCCTGGGCCTGCTGAGCCAAGTGCCCAGCACGTTCGCTCGCTTGGCTACACAAACACGCTGCCTCCGCACAAAATCTGCCTCCCCCCTGCCCCCCCCAGCACCGAATGCTGGGGAGACAGCAGGGGTGCTGCCGGCACCGGGAGCTGGGCGCCCACAGGTGACCCGCAAAGAGCAGAAGGTGGGTGCGTGGATATGAAAAACCCCCACGGGGGCTCCTGTGTGGATGCGGGGGGGGAAGGTGGGGTCCCCAGGCAGGAGCTGGGGGGGGGGTCAAAGCAGCTCACCCCATCACATCTATTCAAACCCCAAGCACCGGCCATGCATCACCCACTGAGGAGCTGGAGAGAAGCCACCAAGGCAATCCCCTCGCCCCCAACTCTTTGCGCGCCCCCTCCAGAAGCACAAACACCAACAATTTTCCTTCCTTTCTCCCCAGGCCATGTCCAGCCCTCCACCTCCTCTCTGCTGAGGCTTCCCAGCGCCCTCACGGTGCATCCCTCAACCCTGAGGCTGCTCTGCTCCTTTCCACAGCCGAGTCCCCCCAGGTCGGGATGGGACAGTGGCCACCCTGGTCCCCCCCGCCGCTGCTCCAGCCCCGGGAGATGCCGCTGCTGGGAGGAATCCACAAACTTCCAGCTCTTTGGTCCATTGGCACGACCGGGTGCTTCAGAGGGACGCAGGAAAGCCCAAGTGGCTTAATCCAACTCCCCCATGGGGTCTCATTCTGCTCTCAAATTGCTCAGCGTCAGCTTGGACGCAGAAGGTTTAATATCCCTTCCAAACAGCCAGCTTTTATTGCGATCACTCGGGATTGTTACAACATCCACAGGAACGTCCAGTCCCTTGAGTGCTCGGTCCCCACCAAGTTTCCTCCAGTGGGGAAATCCCGCTGCGTGACTACAGGACAAAGCTCAGCTTTTCACCCGGCATTTCAATCCCATCGCGTGTCCGGGAGCGATGGAGGTCAGGGATGGACTAGCTGGCCTCTGCGTGGGTAAAAATGACTGCACTGAGATCTAGAACCAGAGGGAGAAAAAAAAAAAAAAAAAAAAGGGGGGGAAAGAAAAAAAAAAAAAGTACAAAACCCAGGGATTTGCATGAGAACGGGGCTCGATGCAAAGAGAAAGGTATTTGCATTGCAAAATGTGCTGGCACCAAGGGATCCTAACCGTGGCCCTACAGGGCGCTCGCCGGCCCATCTCGGCACCCAGCACCCCCCATCCTCGCAGCCCCCCAGCCGCCTCGGCCCGAGCTCGCGGGGAGCGCTCGGGGCTCCCCGGGAAAACCAGCAGCAGCTTCACCCTCCCGGGTTCTGGTGGCGGGTCCAGGTGGAGGTGGGATGGCACCGTGACGCCCCAGCACATCGCCACCCCCACTGCCCAAATCACACCTCCCCGTCGTCGTCCCCCCCCCCCCCGCCCCTCCGGCCACACCGGTGGCACCTCCGGGTGGGATGTTGACGCGACGTGACAAACCTACGGTCACCCTGGGACACGGGGGGGATGGCATCCCGCGGTCCCAGGCCGCTTCTCCGGTGGTCACCAGCATCCGAGCGGGATGCGCGGACGTGGCGAGCCGAGGAGGCGCCGGGCTCCGCGCTCGGGCTTCGGGCCGTTATTTTCATTCCAGCGCCGTCCTCCGAGAGCATCGTCGGAAGCTCTGTCCCCAGAGTGCTGCAGGGACACCCCAAAAAGCCAATTCCAACCCCAAAGGGACACCTGCGGCGCAAACAACTGCGCTTTTAGATTGATCAGAGCTTTGCTCCAGGTACCTCAGACTTATCCCTACTAAATCCTGCCAGGCTGCGGCGGGCAGACAGCATTATCCTTGTCTCGGAGCCTGGAAAAGCGGCGTAGAGATGGGATCTGTCTGGGTCCAGGGAGGGAGCGAGGCGACTGCTTTCACCCACCGACCACGGCGCTCGAGGTGGGGGCCGCGCTCAGCCCCAGGTGGCACACGCCTTTGGAGGGCACGAGGGAAAAAAAAATCCCTGGCGTGGGCTCCAGCTTTGGCGACTGGTTCCTGCCACCCCCGGTGCCACGATGGCAACGGGTCCGAGCAGTCGTGGCTTCATCGCTGGCACGGGGGCAGCCAGGGAAGGGCGGCGAAGCCCCGTGGTTTTCTCTCAGGCCCCCTCCCAAACATCCCGGCTGGACAATAAAGCCGTAAAGCATCTACCGGCGCTCAGAAAACAGAATCAAAATCTCAAATTGAGTGTCAGACCAAAGAGTGGGGGCTGATTCAGCCCTGCCTGACGCCAGGGAGATGGGCTCCCTGCCTTCCCCCCCCAGCCCCATTGTCTGCGAGCGGATGAAAACAAGAAACCACATTCGATCATTCAAATGGCCGAAGGGAGCTCGGGGATGGGCAAGCGGTGCCCCCAGCCCCGTGCCCGTCCTCGGGGCCGTGCCCCCACCATGGGGGGCTGCCCCTGGGACCCGCAACCCTAAACCAACCACCCCACCGGCCAAGAGCCAGGTGAGGGGCCATCGCCGGCTCCAATGAAGTGGTCTGCTAATTAAATCAGCCGGTCTCATCCCGAGCTTCCCCCCACCCCGCCCCAGCACAAAGGCGGTGTAAATACACAGGAGAAGCCCGGCTGCGCAGAGATCGCATCTGACTCAGGCTGCCTAGGAGCCCAGCTCGGTCCCAACACAATCCCGAATTGCTGTGATTAAGCAACAGCCGTCCCCAGAGGCTCCGTGAAGATAATATTTAATTTTTTTTTTTTTTTTTTTTTTTTAAACCTCCGCCTCGGTTATTATACCAAGGCCTGGGGGGGGAAAACAGACTCTACGCCCTCTCCCAAGGAAATAAAGCCTCTCGCCCCAGACAGAGCAGCAGGGCCGATGTCTGAGCTCGGCACAGAGCAGAGGGAACTCCCTGTTGGCTCAGGGCGCTGTGCCAGGATGGGACCAAGAGAAACCGGCTCAGAATCCGGCCGGGTCTCTCGCAGAAGCAGGTGAGGGCAGACACCCCCCCCCCACACCCCCCCCCCAACACACACACACACAGATTTGGCAGATTTCAGCCGGTTTTCACCTCCCCATCCTCAGAGCAGCCACCCAGCCCCGCCGCAGGGCAGGTAGCGGGGTGGACACCCCATAGGTGCCCACCCTTGTCCCCCGCGGCCACCGCCACGGTCACTCGGTGGCTCGCGGGGGTGGCGGGGAGGGAGCCCTGCGCTTCCACCCACGCTGGGCACAAAGGGCTGGGGGGGGCCAAGGGCTGGTTGACCGCAGCTTGGCCAGTAAACTCCAGAATAAGCGTGCCCGCTACGGAGTGGCAAAGCCACAGGCGCCGGTGCAAGCCAGGGAGGGGGGGGGTGGTGGTGGTGGGGGGGGGCACCCAGCCCTGCTGCGTCGCCCACCGGGGACGCTCCCAGTGCCAGCGGAGCCTGCGGGAAGGGAGCGCCCAGCACCCCGGGAGCGGGGCCCATCCCGGGGTGCACCCCCCCATACATACACCCGCCCCCCCCCCCCCCTTATGCTTTAGGGCTGAAGGTTAAAAAAAAATTAATCCTGGCAGCCCCGCATCCCCCCGAAACGTAACGAGGCACCCTCGGGAGCGGGGCTCGCCGAGCAGCCGCTCCCCGCCTGGCCGCCGGCCCAGGAAAGTCCCCGGCTTCCCAGGCCCGGCCCCAGGCTCCGCACCCCTTTTCCCCACCGATTTCTCTCCCCCCCCCTCCCCGCCGCCCCCCGCCCCGCACTCACCATCTCCACCGCACCTTTGTGCGCGCCGTGTGTGTGTCCGTCTGTTTCCCTCCCCCCCCCCCCCCCCCCCCCCCGCCCGCCCCCAAAGCACCAAAATCCCGGGGCTGCTGCTGCTCCAGCGGCGGTGGCGGAGGAGGAGGAGGAAGAGGAGGAGGAGGAGGCGGAGGAAACCCCGAATCCCAGCGGAGCGGCTCTCCCACCCCCCCTCACCCCCGGCCCGGCACCCCCCGCCCCCCCCCCCCGCCGCTGTTCCCGGCCGCTCCCCCCGCGCCCGCCCATTGTCTCCGCTCCGCGCTCCCAGCGCCCCTCCGGGGCCATTGTCTTGGGGGGGGGGGTGGGAGGAACACACGGACGGACAGACGGACACACACACGACGGACAAGACGACAACGACCCCCCGGCTTCCTTTCCCCCCCCCCCCGCCCGCCCCGGTCCTCGATGTGCAGCCCGGTGTTTGGGGATAAGGATGGTGGTGGGGTGCCCTGGGGGGTCCCCACTGCTTTGGGGGTGTGTGTGTGTGTGTGTGTGCAGTGGAGCTCGGGGTTAAGCCCCCCCCCTTCGGATTCAGCGGTCGTTGAGGGTCACGCAGAGCCCACGAGGGCCTCGCGCCTGGGGGGGGTGTGTGTGTGTCACTGTGCCCCCCAAGTGCCCCCCTCAGCACCCGGCCACAGGCCAGGGTGGGGGGGGGGAAAGGACGAGCCTGCGCCCCCCCCCCCCCCGAGGTGCTCCCAAAAGGGGTAACAGCCCACGGGGGTTGTGTTTCTGCTCCCCCCTTTGTGCCAGGCTGGGCTGTTTTGGGGTCGGGGTAAGGACATCCCTGTGATCAAGAGACTCACCCCAGCCCGTGGGTGCCCCCACCCGTGAATGCCGAGTCCATTGCCCCGGTCTGGCTCTGTCCCCCTGCCCGTGTGCCCGAGTGTGTGTGGGGTATCCAGCCGTGCCCCTCGTAGTCGGGGTGTCACAGCTCGGCCCAGCTCACCGCACGTGGGAGCTTCTCTGTGCCAGAGGCTGACCTCGAGTGGGAGCAACTGGAAGACCCCCCCCGCCTCCCACCCCCCCAGGGAGCAAGGAGAGATGGGACACAGACACGGGGGAAGCAGGGGGTTAGCGCTTTGGGGCAGCACTATCCCCTTACCCAGCATCACCCGTGGGAAGGAGCCTGTGCTCTCACGGGCCACTCGCACCCCTTGGCAGCGGGGGTGCTGGGGGGGGGCACCCTCAACTGCTCCAGAGGGAGGGACCCCCAATCACCCCTGCCCCCCCATCCCCCGGGGCTCGGGACCCCAACGCAGAGCGCCCTGCAAAGCCACTACTCCCTCCATTGGGCCGGGGTGGGGGGAAAGGCCAGAGTGCGTGGGACTCCCGCCACGCGTGGGGGAACCCTGCGGCGGGGGCGCATCACCTACCCGGAACAGCCAGGCCGAGCCGCCGGGCGCTTTATATCAATGAGCGAGGCTGGGAACGGGCTGGGCCCGCCCCCTGGAGCTGCCCAATGGCGTGAGGCGCTCTCCTCCCGGCGCACGCCATTGGTCGGATTTAAATGGCTTGTTTTCCCTTAATGGGGAGGAGTGTCCGGGATGGGCGGGTTTAGGCTTAAGGTTTAAGATTTAGGTTTAAGATTTAGGTTTAAGGTTTAGGTTTAAGTTTAAGGGTTAGGTTTAAGTTTAAGGGTTAGGTTTAAGGTTTAGGTTTAGGGTTGTCCCTGGTCAGGCTGGAGGAGTCTTGCTCTGCTTGAGCCCTGACACAGCTCAGCCCATGTGTTTTGGGTCCCTCTGGGTTCACCCCAGAAGCCGAAGCACCGGGTGGGTGGTGTCCAGCAGCATCCCCAAGTGCGTGGGTCCAGGCTGAGCTCGGGGAGAGCTGCAGGGAGGGAAAGGGCAGCCAGAGTTGTAAGCTGGAGGACAGAGCTCAGGGCACCTCAGGAGGGACCCCCCCACCCAAGTCTGGACAGCTTCTCCTTCCTTTTTTTTTATTGAGGGTCTTGGCTCTTGTGGAAATGCTCATCCAGGAGCCACCGTTGTGGGATGCCCCACGGAGTTCAGTGACGCTTTTCCCGCTGTGTTTTCCCACCTCCCAGTTCGGCTCCATGCTGCAGTTGTCACGGGGAATCCCAGCTCCAGCCTGTTCCCTGGGGCAGGTTGAGGAGCCTCAGGGGTGCTCCAGGTCCTTCTCTGCCTTCACCCACAAAAGGCGCAAGGAGGCACGATGCTGCGTCTTGCACCAGCCGTGGAGATTTGAGGGAGGCAGATCCCAGGCTGTGCGCGTCCCCTGGCTCCTGGCACAGAGCTGGGGGGTCACTGTTCCCCCTTTTCACGTGGCCCAGTGGGCTGTGTAAGCCACTGGAGCAGCCTTGAGGTGTCACCTCGGGGGGTGCAGGAGCTGTGGCCAAGTTTAGGTCATTATGACCCAGCAGGACTTTGGGGATCCCTGCTGGCTGTGGGTCCCCTCTGCTTTCCCCCCTCCCCGCAGCCAGCTGCCCTGGGCTCTCTTCTCGTTCCCACTCTGGCTCCGGGAGTGATTGATGGGCCCTCGGAGCTCAGTCCTGGCCAGCTGGGGTTGCTGGAGCCTCCCTGCCATCTGGGCTGGGCCGCATTGTTCCACCTCGTGATTTACAGGGATGGTCCCCTCCCTCCACACCCTGCTCTCAGGATGGAAGAGCCTGCCCGGCTCTGCAAGGAACATGGGAAGAACCTGGGACCAGCGGGGCACAGGGTGCTGGGCACTTCCCACCCATCTCCTGGGGCTGAAGGGGTCCCCAGAACCAGCTCTGTCTTGCCGCGTTCTTGGCAATGACCTTTTGCAATGCAGGGAAGACCCCAGGCCCTTGCAAAGTCCTCACACGCCTCCCTGAGCGGAGCTGGGGGGGGGGGAAGTGGTGTCCCCTCACACCCGCCGGACCCCTTTCCTTGCCCAAAGCCGCCCCACCACCCCCCACACAAACAACCAGACCCCAGCCGGGTCCAGCACCCATCAGTCCCAAGGTGTCACGACCGGGCTTCCCGCTCCGTAGGGAGGGGAACGGAGGCTCCGGGCAGACAACTCGCAAGATTAGGAATCCTAGAAAATGGGGTGTGGGGTGACAAGCCTCTCCCTGCCCCAAGCAGGATCAGCAGCATCTAACCCAGCCCCACAGAGGTTTGTCTGACCCAGCTGCAAGCCCCGGGGCTGCGGGATGCTGGTGATTGTGCTGGACCCCCCCTGGGCCCGCTGGCCCCCCTCTCCCAGCGCCATGGGCTGTGCACCCTGCCTGTGGTGGGGGGACACACGACCCCTGGGTCCCAAATTTGCTCCGCTGCTCTCTCTGGTCTCTGTCCAGACGGGCTTTTTATCTCTGCCAGGCGATCGCCGGCGCGAGGCGTCCGATGGCTCATTAGCTCCCGCTCGGTGTCTCGGAGGAAGGGATCAGATAAGTGTTTTATCTAGGGAGACCGTCGGCCCTTTTGGGCCGGGGCCTGTCTCTCCCAGCCGCCCGGCTCGGATCAGCATCGCGGCCTCGGGGGCCCCTTGTGCTCCAAACCAAGCATGAAATGAGCATTTTACACGATGGGTCACGGAGGATGCTTTTGGGAAGGTCCTGCCTGCGTGCACGGGTGACATTTGCCTTTGTCCCTTGCCCTCCCCCAGCCCTGCAGTGGGGTTTATGGTGGGTCCCTTCGCAGGGGATGGGGATGCTCCGGGGCCCGGCTGGCAGGGATGGGGGTCCGCAGCCTGGGGGGGGGAGGGTGGTGACAGGGGTCTGGTGTGTGATGTGCAGGGTCCCTTCTTGGGGACCCAGCAGATGGCACTGCCGCCTTGCGCAGGCGAGCTGGGGACACAGCTGCTGCCCACGGTGACATCCCCGGGGGGACCAGGGCGCAGGCAGGCAGCCTGGCCCTGGGGCAGCAGGCTGAAACAAGGGGTGTCCTTCCCCCTTCCCAAACCGGGGTGTCACATCCTCCTCCGGATACTCCTTTTTAGGGGAGGAGGGGACAGGGAAGGAAGGCAGCAGCCACCCCCACCTCGTTGTTGCTGGGGCAGGGACACAGAAATGCCGCTGGGATGAAGGATCTGAGCAGCTTCATGCACGTCTCTTTATCTGCACCGTCAGGACTATTTTCCGTAGGTATTTTTCAAATGAAAAGCCCCAGTGAAAGAATCCTTGTGCACACACCTGAGCACCGGGACCAGCGTCCTCCAGAAGCCAGGGGAGATGAAGAGATGGAGGTGTGTATGGGGAAGGAGAGAGAGAAGGAAATAGCTGTGGGACTAGGGAAAGAGTTGGGAAGCGTCTAGGAAAATGCTCGGGGAGGGAGAGGAGAAGCTGAGCTGCCCGTCACCCTGCCTGCCCGCCAGCACAAAGAGCAGGCAAGGGACCCAATCTGTTGGAGATGACAGCAAGGCCAGAACCAGCATCTAAATTAGCATGAAGCGTTTCCATTGTTCGAGGCACAATGAGGACCATATGTCAGGGCCGGGGCTGGCAGCCGGGAACAATGGGCCCGCAGAGGTTTGGGAGCCGCCGCCGTGGAGCTGGCGCTGCCCTGACCTGATTGTCACCTCCCGGAGAACAGAGACGGCCGCCCCGCACGAACCTCCGGGCTGGGAGAGATGAGCTGGGGCTGGATGCAGGTGCTGGAGACACGCTGCATCCCGAGGGGTGAACTCCCGAGCTGGGAGAAAAAGAGAGTGCCAAGGTCCCCTCCCGTGTCCCAGCGGCCGCTATTGCCCCTACAGCCCCGTGCAAAGTCTCCTTCCTTCCTTCCCCTGCTCCCTCCCCCATGTTTATTATTTCCCCTTTGACGCATCTCTGCTGAGCCAAGCTGCAGCCGAGGCCAATTGATTATATGAAGAAATTTGGAGCAAGTCGGCGAACAGCTGCAACCTGCCCCCAGGGACGTGCGGGATCGGCGCAGACAAAGGAGACGAGCCGCAAACTTGCTTCCCCGCGTCGCTCGGGGTGGGCTGAGGAAACGGGGAGAGAGTTGGGGGGGCTCGTGGGGGAGAGGGCTGGGGGACCCAGAGAAGGGACCTGCGGGGTCTCTGCGAAGCAAAGGTGAAGGGATGGGTGAGTTCGGAGCCCAGGGCTGCACTGATTTCCCCTGGGTACGCAGGAGGGAGAAGGTGGTTTATTGGGTGTGTTTGGAGATGCTGGTGACTGGCCCAGATGTCCTCATCGCTCTGCTGTCACCAGAGGGGCTGGGCCATTCGGGGTCTGCTCGTCCCAGTAAACCCAAGCTGGGCTCAAACGGCAGCTGCAGACCCGGGGGAAGCCCAAGACACGGCGTCCACCCCGGCCCCGAGCGAGCCCGAGCCTGGCCGGTGCGGGTAGGACTCTTCGAGTGCCAAGAGGACACGTCCTGGTCCCCTGGCCGGGGCGGTGGGTGACGGTCCCCCTCCCACCACCTCCTGTCACAGGCACGGCCGCTGCCGGCCGCTCCTGCGCGGGGAATCCGCCACCACCACCGCAAGGAAGAGATGGCTAAAAACAAGATTAAAAAAAAAAACAAAACAAAACAAAAAAACCCAAACAACCAAAAAAACCCAAACAACCCACAACAGAAAAAGGGAAGCCGAGCGCTCCAAGTTCAAGATCTCTCTTTTGCTGGCAGTTTAATTCATTTCCCCCCTCCCCGACTTCCTTGTGAACTCATAAATAATAAATCCTTGCAGTCTGAACAGCCAAGACAAACACACGCTGGGGCACACCGCATACAAGGGTGGGTTGGTTGGTTTTCCGCCGTGGTCATTATTATTTTTTTTGTTTGTTTGTTTGTTTGTTTTCTAGTTTTCCTTTCCCAAAAGTGCACAACACAGCAAATAAATAATAACATTTATCAATAAATTAATTCAATAAATATCCTCGTGGCACAGAGGCGTGGCTGGTGAGTGGAGGGGAGGAAGGGTGGGCTGCCCTGCTCTGTTTTGCTCTGCCGCTGCCCCGCTGAGCGATGCGGTGACGGGGGACCCGGCTGCGGGGTCCCCGCTCCAGCCCTCGGGGATCCCACATTCCCCGGTGAGTCCTGGCGAGACAGAGGTAGCGATCGTTCTCCCTGCTTTTCTGGGGAGGGGGAAAATGAGGTCGCTGGGAGCTGGCGGCAGGGACGGGGGTGGGATGGAGCCAGGAGGTCTGTGAGGTGCCGGGAAGCCCAACCGGGGCTCGGCCACCCAGCCCGAGCAGCGACCGACACCTCAGGGAGGCGAAAAAGTGGAAATGTGGGAGCCCAGAGCGGGGCAGGTGCTGCTGGGACCCCCTGTTCCGGCTCTGGGGGTTTGCTGGTGTTGGCAGGACGTGGCACCGAGCCTCTCACGGCGGCCGGTTCATCTCTGGCACACCAAAGTCCATCTCCCCCAGCACCTACCCCGCGGGCCGGACCACTGTCTGCTCGTGATGAGGCTCAAGGAGGAGCAGCCCCGAGCCCCTTCCCCGCAGGCTCCCGGCCTGGAGCGTTGGCTCTAAGCACAGCCAGAGGTTTTTGCCCCATCCTGGTCCCCCGCCCGGGGCTCTGCTTGTGCTCTTGCCACTGCCAGTGCAAAACGAACTCTTCAAACAAACAAACACCCAGAAAACAAGGCAAAACATTCACTCTTGCAATGAGCTTTCCCCAGCCTCAGCGTGCCTTTGCTGGAGAAAAGGCTGCTCGGCTCAGCTACCCCTTCCCGCTCCCCTCCCTCTCCCAAAGTGCTGATCCATGTTGGGGGGGGGGGGCCGGGGAGAGCCCCGGCTGCTGGAAGCTGGGCAGAGGGGCCGTGTCTGCTCCCTCCCCTCTCCAACCCCGCGGCCCTGCCAGCCGCAGGTAAAGTGCAGTTTTACCCCAGCAGAGCGCGTGCCGTGAAAGGTCACGCCGCACCAGGGCCGTACTGGTGTAAACGGGAGAGGCGGGGGCTGCCCATCAGCACATCAGCCCCGGCGTTGCCGAGAAGGGACGCGGCGCTGGGGGTGCTGAGCACCGGTGTCCCCCCCGTGCTGGGGCTTGCGCCACGCTTCTGACCCCACTCGGGACTTTTTCACCAGGAGCACGGAAAGGGGAGAGGGAGGAAGAGTGGGGAGGGACGAAGCGCTGCGCGGGGAGGGCTGGTGCTCGGCGGGGGGGTCGCGTCTGTCGGTGCGACGGGCCAGGCCTGGGGGGGTTTCACACTCGTTGTGCAACGGGCCAGGCCGGGGGGGGGTTTCACACTCGTCGTGCAACGGGCCAGGCCGGGGGTGGGGTTTCACACTCGTCGTGCAACGGGCCAGGCCGGGGGGGGTTTCACACTCGTCGTGCAATGGGCCAGGCCGGGGGGGTTTCACACTCGTCGTGCACTAGTGCAAAGGAAGGTCGGGCAGCAAAACCTGAGCCCCACGGGTGTGGGGAGCAGAGTGGGGAGCTGCGGGGAGACCAGAGGTGCAACGGGGGGGGGGGGGGGGCTTGGAGAGAGCCCGGGTGCTGCTCCGGGCACCTTGCAGGGAGCACAGCGAGGGAGCACGCCTCTCGGCTCCATCTCGAGGGGAACCCGCCGCCGGCGTCTGTGGCAAGCGCGGCCAGGTCGTGCCGGGTCTGCGCCATGCTTTGTGCTGACTTTTGGGGCGCGAGGAGCCGGGAGGAGCTGCTCTGTGCCTGCCCAAGGACGCTCCTGGGCTGTGCTCCCTCTGCGGAGAGGACGGTCCCGACGTGAGCCTTTAAGTGGCCAGCACGATGCCAGGGACAAAACAGCAGCGAACGGACAAAATGCCCAGACTGGCCGTGCTGGTGGGGCGGCCGGCGGCGGAAGGCGCAGACAGACAGACAGACGGACAAGAGCCCGGGGTGGCTTGGCGCCGCAGCGTTTTCACGGGTCCATTTTTTTGTGGCTTGTGGAAGAGGTGACGCACAGACAGACTGGGGCTCAGTGGCTTCTGCCGCGGGTCGGGGAGCAGGCGTGGCGGACAGACTGACGGGTGCGGGCACCGGATCCCGTCGGCAGTATCAGTGGGATGCGCAGCAGAAGGACGGACGGAAGCTGGGAGCGTACGCGGCCAGCACAGGCTTCGGGCAGCAGATCCAGCAGGACAGACAGATGGCCCCTGGCCCAAACGTCCAGCTTGACTCGAGCAGGACGGAAAGACAGACAGACGCGGGCTTGGTGGTGGGGAAATACAGAACGTGGTTCAGATAGGGGGTAGAACAGACAGCTGGGGACTTGTTCCTTTTGAACAGACGGACGAACACAGGCACAGCATTTTGGATGCCCAACATGTGGTTCAGGTCGTAGATGGACAGATGGACTCGAGCTCTTGGCTCAGATGCCCGGCACACGTTCAGGTAGGAGATAACGGCAGACAGACAGACGGCCGCAGGCTGGGCGGCTCAGACATCCAGCACGTGGTTCAGGTAGGAGATGTAGCAGATGGCCAGGCGTAGGATCTCAATCTTGGAGAGCTTCTTGTCCGGCGGCAGGGTGGGCAGCAGCTTCCGCAGCTCGGCGAAGGCCATGTTGAAGGCTTCGACGCGGATGCGCTCCCGCGTGGCGTGGGCTGTCCGGTATTTGGCCGTGGCACGTCGCCGGCGCCGCCGTTCCTCCCGACTCAGGTGCTGCAGGTCTTTCTTCACCGGCTCGCCCGGCTCGGCTATCCGGGACTGAGCGCACAAGCCAACGCCGCCGGCGTCCTCCGCGCCGCCCGCGCGGCCGCCGCCGCAGTCGCTGAAGACGGACTCGGACTCGGAGTGTGTCGGGGGCAGGTCGATCTCTGTCTGGTCCGAATTGAGCATCATCTTCGCAGAAGAGGGGTGGGCAGGCAGACGGGTGCTTCAGCGGTACGGTACGTCAGGAGGACAGACTGACCCCGGCGCAACGTCGGGGCAAAACTGCTTTGCTTTAAAGAGAAGGTCTCTGGCTCACAGCAAGCCCCTGGTTATTCTCCTCCTCTTCCTCCTCATCACCCAGAGTCTCCGCGAGGGAATTTCAAAATTTTCCCTTTTCCCCGGAGGACTCGTTGGGTGGGCGACAACTTTCACAACAAATAATGTAAGAAGGATGGCGGGACGCATATAAATCAAATCAAATCAATAAATAAATATGCCTCCCCCCCCTCCCCGGCGCGCGCGTGTGCGCGGAGGCCGCGGGCTCTTCCGTGCAGCCGTGGCAGGACCCAGGTTCAGAGCCGTCAGGTGTCAGAGCCGAACTCCTCCCGCGTGCTCTAGAAAACAGAAGCACAGGGGCTCTCAGTATCGCCCGGCTCCCGGCACACACGAGACACGTAGCTAGAGAGCACAGCTGTTTGTCCCACCCGCCCCGCGGCAGTGGCCTTGGCCGGAGCAGGGCACGGGGGGTGGGCTGGGGCTGGGCTGGGGCTCCGGGTCCCCGCGGCTCCGGGTCCCCTGTCACGGGGAGAAGGAGCCCGGGGGGTGGCTCCGGGAGAAGGTGGAAGCCATTTCTCCTGGCTCTCCGGAGAGATGACAGGTGGTGGATGAGCGAAGGGGAAAAACAGACTGCAGGGGCGAGGGGAAAGGAGGGGGGGGGGGGCTTATTGTATACCAAATGAGCCCGTATGTCATGGATCCTGGCACCCCCCGACATATGGAACCCAACACAGCTGCTTTGCTTGATGTGGCCAAATAGACGCTGGCTCCCCGCTCCCTCCGGGACGCTGCGCCGCCGGCCGGGAAAGCTGCCTCCCCTCTCCCTTCTCCTCCCACCCCCCCCCCCCCCCCCCCAAAGCCCCGCTGCCTTCCCTGCGTGGCTCCAGCCGGCACAGATGCCTCCGGGAGCAGGTCTGGGAAAGGCAGGTCTTGCCGCGGGCTCATCTTGGCCCCCGGGCAGGGGAAGGGTTGGGGTGGAGCAGGGGAAAGGGGAACAAACTTCAGATGGGGAAATGGTGCTGCTGGAAAAGACGGCAGCCCGGCTGGGAAGGCAGCCAGGCAGAGATGTACAACATATTACCTCTCTCAGGCTTGACAAGCTTGTAATGAGCCATACGACTGAGAAATGGCAACTAAACGAATATGGACAGGCGATGACTGGGAAGAAATAGTCCACATCCCATTTTAAAAGACTGGCGGCAGGCAGAGCCCTTGGTGTGCGTTCGCAGGAACACAAGGAACCCCATGAGCGGGTACAGAAATGTCTGCACAGCCCCTCTGAGCCCCCCCCCAAAAACACACGTGGCTGTTTCTTTGCGGTCTTACAGAAACACACAGGTACACACACGTGTCCACATATACACACGTGCATGTATAGACACAGACACAGTTTCCCAGCACATATGTGCAAATGGTCCCAGTCAAAAACTCCTCGGTGAGAATCCCACATCCATTTATGCACAATAATTTACAGGCACACTCATAAATCTACCCCCAGGCAGGCATCTCTGTGCATACACACACACACACACACTCACCCTTGCACTGTCATATTCCGCTTTCACCAAAAAAAAATAACCTGGACTCTTTTTTCTCCTAGAACACAAAACCTTTCAGCTGTGCACGAGAGTATAAGTAAACCATCCGAATCCTAAACAAAAAGTTACTCTTGTGAAGCCCTTAGCCTGGAGATGATGGAAAGGCTGATGGAAACGTGGCTTTCGGGATCCACGGGGATGTCCTCTCAAGGCTCTGGGCTTGCAAGAAGCTGCACTGTCCCCAGAGCACGGCTGAGTTTGGTTTTGTGTTTAACTTGCTCTCCCTGCGACCAGCTTCAGACACAAACCAGCCGGGGATCAAGAACCGCGACCACCGCCAGAGCGTGTGTCTCAAGTTCCTGAATTACCCACATCTGCTGCAGCCAGCCCCTACAGCCGTGACTCCTGCACCTTGTTTAACCTTCTCCATTCCCCTCCCGCTTTATTTTTGTTTTTCCTTCTGCTCTTGTCCCCTCCCTGCTGACCTGGGACCTCCTTTCGGGTGCTCGGTGGTGGAGGGAGCAGTCCTGCCGTGCCGGCTGCTCTGCCCTCGGGAGCAGCGTGTCCGTGGGTGACCACCACCCAAAGCAAACCTGCGCCCGGCCGGTGAGCCGGGGCAGCCCCTCATGGCCAGCTCGAGGCTCGTTGCCGCGTTTCCCCCGCGGTGCCACCCCACTCCCACTCCCAATACCAGTCCCTGGAGCATCGCTCCCAGCCGTGGGGCAGGACTGTGGCTCCAGCCGTAAGCGCAAGCTCCGGACAGGCTGCAGCCGGGCTGGGAGAAAGAGGGAAGGTCGGTTTTGGGGTTGGACACGTGCCACGGCACCTCTGCACTTTCAGCGCCCGGGCCGTGGCGAGGAGTCGGCGCGTGGACGCCCAGGATCACGCTCGCGTGTGCAGCTCCGCATCTGCGTGCGCAGCTTCTCCTTAAACACCCTCCCTCCCTGCTCTTGGGGCCGGGGAACCGCATCCGATCTCTTGCGCTAGCTTCCCAGTTCTCCTGGCTCCTTCTCATCCCGGCGCTGCTGCTCTGCAAACAACGGGCCTGTTCTCCTCTTGCTCTGCAAACTCAGGTGCTGCCTCACCCGACCGGGGCCGAGCTGGAGGTTCAGTCCACGTGCGGCTGAGCCGCCCCGGCAAGAACCTGCGGAGCAATTCCGCTGCCTCCTGGCCCCATCGCTTCAGCACAGGGCAGGGAAGGAGACAAAACAATCACCTCCCGTCCCCTCCCGGGGCACCAGCCCTGAGGCATGAGCGCGTCACATCATCCTGGAGTAGGGGGAGGCTGCAAAAACTTCTTCTCCTTGGGCAGACAGGGATGGCGACCTGGCTCAGGAACAGCCCGGGAACCACTCACCAGTCCGCCGCGGTCCGCAGAGGGCACGGGCTGCGGGACGCGTTGCTGGCCCCGTCCCAGCATCCTTGGGAGTGAATTTAAGGGGTATCGAAGGCGGGAGGCAGGAGTCCTGCACGGGGGTCTCAGTCGCAGAAGGATGTCGGCAGGAGACACCGGATCACTTACGTGAAGACAAGTTTCAGTACTGGACCCAAATAAACTCCTCATCCCACTCCTCCTTTGCTGGGTTAATCCAGTCCTCAAAAAGCTTGTCCTTCACATGGGTGACGTGTGTTCTCAGTGGCTCTTTTTCACTCTTTCCTTCAGCTGAGCCGTGAACTGTCATCTTCCTAAATTCATCCACTGCAAGAGCCTCTTTTAAACCTACACTTGCTCCAGTCCTGCCCTCAGCAAAACCCCAGTAAAGCTTAAACCCCTGAGAGGAAGCAATGCTCCCCACCTCCTCGCTTGCCCTTCTCCTTGCGCTCCAGACCAGCTGTGTAACAATTTTTGAAGACCCCCTGGCTACGCAAAGTGTGCCTGGGACCCACTTTAGGCCATCTGACTGAAGGTTCCCTTTTCTTTTTCCTGAGCAGAAATCCCCTGTGCCCCTGCCAAGCCCCAAACGAAGGCTGCGCAGGCAGGTTTGTGCGTTAAACCTCGCGCCGAGGTCAAGCCCCCTTTTCCCGAGAGAGCCGCCAGCTTTGCGCTACCTTCCCGCACAGACCACGCTGCTCCTCTCACCGTCCCTCTCCCCACGTCACCATTTCAGCAGCATCAAACCTCGCACCAACCAACATCCAGGAGCACACTCACCCCTCCCCGGGACAGCCACCTTACCCCCAAGCCGATGACCATTCCCCCGGGCTCCAGCTTTTCTCTTCCAGCAGGATGAAGCTCAAAGTAATCCAGGGAGGGAGGAACCGCTTGACTCATCCGCCCATTGAGGAGGCAGAAAGTTTCCCCGGGTGCGTCTTGCTCCGTGGGATGGACTTGGGGGGTCAGGGGGAACCCCAGCAGCCTTGGGGCCCAGGCATGCTCCTCCTTGGGCGGGAGTGCGAGCGGGCCACCGCGCCTTGAGATGGACACCCCAAGGAGGCATGTGCCCCATACGCTATATATACACCCCAGCCTCGCACACCGGGTCCGACCCCGGCTGCCTCATTGGCCGCTCCGGTGCTCCCCCCCTCATAAATATTAAAGTCAAGAGAGGGGATGCCATTGGCTGTGCGGGAGGTTGGAGCCCCCGGGAGAGGAGGGAGGTGGAGGTTGGATGTGGTCCTGGAGGGTGGATGGAGGTGGTGGGCTGGGAGGGAGGGAGGGAGGAGGGTGGGGGTGCTCCGGGAGAAGGCGACATCTGTTCGCCATGCATATTTCATAAAGGAGAAATCGAGAGATGGGAGCGAACGTGGAGAGGGGAGAGGGAGAGACAGGCAGGCAGGCGAGTCCCCGCGCCAGGGTGGGACGAGGAGCGGCGCCTGCGGGAGCAGCGGGACCCACGGCACAGCTTTGCCGGGTGGCTCCCACTGGTGTGCAGCCCTTGCGTGGGTGCGTGGGTGAGAGGGGCTGGGTGCCTGTGCTGCGCCGGGCGCGTGCGTGGGGTGGGCGAGCGCTGGTGGGTGCCTGGACCAGGGACAGCCTCTATCCCACGCGTCCTGCCTGTGAGCTGCTGCAAAATTCACCTGTAGTAGAGTTTGGTGAGGAACGAGAAAGAAAGTGAAAGAAAGAGGTACCCAGAATACACAGGTATTGCTTTGAAACGCTGATCCTCTATTTAACCATGAAACAATGATCTCTTGTGTGGGTTAGACTTGGTCTCTGCCTCTCACCCTTCTTCGATTTCGAATTCTCCTGTTAAACTCTGTCTGGAGAAAATCTGCTCTGGTTTGCCCTCGTTATCAGGAAACTCCCTGCTCTGAAATCCCTGCGTCCCCCATCCCACGGATACGCGGGTCCTCCCAGACCCTGCGTTTTGCTTGCTGGAGTCTCCCACTTTCATCTTCTCCTTCCACCGAGTGTTGGACGTTCCGGCCCCCCCTCGCTCCCCTCCCAGGCCCTGGGGGGCTGGTTCCCCCCCCCCCCCCCCCACCCTCCACGGCAGCCCGAAGCCCAGGTGATGGGCATCCGCACCTGGGCGCACTCCAGCCCGTGGCACGGATCGGCAGATGGTCTCGGAGTTTGCAAGGCGAGCGGCGGACGAGGCGGAGGGATCAGGTGGCAGGGAGAAGCCTGCCTCACCATTGCTATGGCACCGATTAGAAAACAATCTTCGCCTAACGAGCTCGTGGCAATCGCCACAGCCTCCCCCCCCCAGGGAACGCCCGGCATGCCGCGCACCTCTCGCTCCTCTCCCGCGTGCCGACGCGCCGTCGGCACCTCCACGTCCACGCGGGCAGGCGCACCCTTCGCCAACCCCTTTCCACCCGCCGTGTCCCGTCCCCCCCCCCCCCACCTTGCCCGTGCACGCACGGCCCCCTCCGCCCTCGCTGCAGCCCTCCGCCTGGGCCCCCCATCTCCCCCGAGGGGCTCTTTGTATTTATTTCTCGCTCTGCGCTCCCTGTCCTTCCTCTGTTCCCGTCTCGCCTGCCCACCCCCAGGGCCAGCTCCTCTCCCCCTGCCAGGACGCCAGCAGGGCCCCCACCTCTCTCCGCAGCTGATGCTGAGCTGCTCCGGGCATCCTGCCGGGCTGGGCTCGGGGAGGAGGGGAGGGGAAGGAGCGGAGCTGCCCGCCGGAGCCTCCCCACTGGGGACGCCGGGCCCGATCTGTGCTGGCCTCCGCAGCACCCAGGCGAGCTGGGGGGGGGGTGGTTTCGGCTCCCTCTCAAGTTCTTCTCCCAGGTCGAGGCATTGGCAGATCCATCCTCCCACCCTGGCTCTTAGCAGCTCGCGTGGGGACACGGGCATGGAGTGCCTGAGTCAGGGGGACACTAACTGGGGGGCAGCTCTCTCTGCTCGGCTGCGGTGACACAAGCGGTGTCTGCTCCAGCAGCCGAGCCCCCGCCCCGTAACGCAGTCACCTTAACTCTGCCCTGGGATAACGCAGACTCTCCGCCTTCCTCTTCCGCCTTCCTCTTCCCCCCGGGGTAAGAGCTGAGATTGCAAAGGCCCCTTCACCTGCCAGCATCTAAATCTGACACCGCCCGGCGGGAGGATTTCCTCTGGGGACATCCCTCAGCTTGGAAAAAGGCTGTTTGTTGCTCCTAGAGGAGTGCCGGCGGGCAGGACGCGGCCCTGCGTGGCGCACGGGCAGCCCGCAAAGCCCTGCAGAGCTGACCTGCTCGGGGAGGGGGGGAGACGAACCGGGGCAGGGCTGTGCCGGCGGAAGGTGAAGCCACAGGTCTCGTGGGAGGCTGACGGCAGAGCGAGAAACTCAAGGCTTTTCTCCTGCAATCCAGGCCAATATTCCCCCCTGGTCCCCGCTTGGAGCCTGCAGCCCGCGGGAGCTGCCGTGGTCCCTGGGATTTTGACTGCTGCCTCATTCTCTATGCCCTCGGGAAGAACTTCTGAGCTTCAGCTACCCTAAGGCTGACAAAAAAAAACCGATGACATTTTGGGGGAGGGAGAACCGGAGACCCTCCTGGCTTTGTTCTTCACTTCTGAGTTTCCCAACTTCCTGGCTGGCAGAAACTGGTGCTCCTTGTCAAAACCAACCAGGTTTCTTAAGCACCGGAGCCCACAAGCCGGAGCCTGCAGAAACCCCTCGTTTCTTCTGAATTCCTGGGCCTCCCTTTCAACGCGGCGTTCGAGAAGAAAGAAGCTGGTAAACACCGGTGGGAGCCCAGCCAACTTTTTAAAATCTCTTGATACCTTTGGCTTGACCTGTGAGGTTGACGGACCCAGGTGGGTCCATTGGGGTGTTTCCATCCAAGCGGATGAAGCCCTCCAGGACTTGCCCACCGTAACCCACAAGGTTTGGGGCTCGAGGAGCCGTGACACGGGGCCGGGGGGGACCCGAGCCGGGCTGGCCGCTCCAGGCCTCCTGCGTGCGTGCAGGGAGGGCACGGCGAGGTATGAAAAGAGCCTAGAAGAGGCAGCATTTGGCAGGAGATGAGGCGACATATTGTACAAAGCCACTGGGGACCACACTGGCCTGGGCTTGTCGGGGAAAACAGGCAGCTTTAACCCTTGTGCTACTGGAGCAGACGCGGCTGGAGTAACTTTTATGCAGCGAGGGGCTCTATGTCCAAATAACGGGTGGGAAACCTGGAAGGAGATCCCTGCCACAACACCCAGATGCCGGAAAGAGAGTCCCTGGGGGGCATTACTGCTCCTGTCCATCAACTGGTACCTTCGGGCACGTGGTGGGACTGTGCCCCATCTCTCCAGCAAGGACCCTCTGCAGGACAAAAGGCTCCCCCCGCGTTCCTGATACCACCCAGCTGCTCGTTCACGGCAAAGTCTTCTCTGGCAGACCTGCCTTTTTGGACTGTTCCCTGCAGCCAGGCCCGTCAGAGATCCCACAGTGTCCTGTTGGGTGCCGTTATACTTTGTCCAGACACGCACAAGTGCAGTTTGTGGAGGGGGAAGCTGCCAGCTCCATCATGTCTGGTTCGCAGCGTGCTTTTGCAACCAAGAGCTGCTGGCTGCGACGGCTCAGACACCCCGCGCAGGTGGCGCAAAGCCACGCGGATCACACCGCGATGCTCAGCTGGGTGACGCTCCAGCTACCGGCCTCTTTGCAGACGGCGAGGAGGAGGCAGAGCCGTTTGGGTGGAGGCTGGAGGAGCACCTGGGCGGCCCGTTAACCCTCACTCAGGGTGATGACGCCCGGCGAAGCCGGGGCTCCAGGCCTTTCGGGGCGAGTGTGTGCGAGCGCGCCAACGCGCGTGCACGCGCAGGCTGCCTGCCCGCGAGCGTGCGTGCACGGGCACACTTGGGCTGCAGGGTCCACGGGCGTGTGGGCGGGGTGGCTGAGGAAGGTCCAGCACCCCTCAAGCACGTGTGTTTGCACGCCCGCCCGTGTTTACTTGTGCACGCGCCTAACTAATAACAGAAGGCCCCCGATCCGCGCGGCTCTCCCCACGCCCTGGGCACGCTTGCCTGGCTAGTGACAGAAGCCCTCGGCTCCGGTAGCCCTCTCCTCTCCTCGCCTTTGTCTCCCTGGCTTTTATTGAGTGCAGGTTTTGTGAGCGGTCGGTGACAGACGGCCCCGGTGCTCGATAACTAGACAATCTGTCACCACCACCACTGACAGCTTTCACAAGGAGCCCCTTTCCTTTCATCCTTCCCGGTTCCCTTCGCCTCTGCTTGTCCCCCTTCCACACGTGCTCTCTGGCTTTGTTCCCCCCTAAAAGCCAAATAGCGACAGAAGCTCCTGATCATAATATTGCTCTAATCGAGTCTGTCATAATCGGATCCAATCTAATTATGTCCAGATCCCTCTCTTCTCCTGACTCTCTCTATTGCCTGTCCATCTGTCCCTCTCTTCCCTTCCAGTCTTTGTGTCCATCCATCTGTTATCTGCAGGCCTTTCTCCCTTCCCACCATCTCCCTGGGCCCCTGCCCCATTCACAGCGTGGCCGCCCCGGCCCTTTCCTCCAGCGGCTCCCTCTCCAATCCATCTCTCTTAAAGGCCTCTCCATCAATTCATTTAGCAGCAGCTCCCTGCCTCCTCTAGCCCATCTGCTTCTCCCTTTCTGCTGGCTGCGAGATGCAGAGATGCTGTTTTGTTTGTATGTCGATCTTGATTAGCCCCAGAAACCTCACTGTTAAAGCTGTGCTGGCACTGGGGAAAGATCACCTGGGTAGCAGAGAGCTGTAGGTCCTAAGCAGCATCCTCCATCCCTGCCTCACCCTCTGCCTTCTCCGCGCCATCGCACCACACGCTCAGGCTGGACACGCAGGTGAAAGAGGCTGGAGAGAAAAGGACGGGGGCCCAGGAGCACAGGGCTGCACGAGGCAGGCTGGGGAGGTGCAAGCTGGAATCGGTATCGCCCTAAATTACCTTCCTTTTTCCTCTAGCCCTGGTATTTTTCTCCAGGAATGCGTGCAACTGGCTGGACGACGGACAGACGCACAGGCGTGGTGGTGAGACCCGAGTGGATGCTCTCGCTGCAGGCAGAAGGGAGGACGAGGTCGAGAGGAGCCGGGGCAGACGGCTGCAGTGGTGCCTAGGGGGGGAACTGGGTGCCAGGTATCGGTGCCGTGGATTTGGGGTTTGGGGGGGGGGGGGGGGGGGAGTCACTCC